AAACCGCGAGGTGAGATCTGTTATGCAGTTTTGAAGGACCTTTTTTGACTAGGTTCTGCCAGGGCTGGTCCGCATTCCACAAGCTCCTTCTTTCCCTCTTCAAGTTTCTGGCTCCGTTCTTGAAAGAGGCCGATCTCCAACTCGCATCTCGTGATCTGTATCGCGGTTCCCTCCGACTCCTCCTCGTCCTTCTTCATGATTTCCCAGAATTCCTCAGCGAATACTACTTTAGTCTCTGTGATGCCATCCCTCCGCGTTGCATCCAGCTTCGCAACATTATCTCCAGCGCTTTCCCTATGTCTATCATCCTTCCTGATCCTCATCTACGCAACATCAAATTTGACTCGATTCCCGAAATGGGACCGATACCACCCATTCTATCAGACTTTGCTTCAGGTCTCAAAAGCGCTGACCTCCGCAACAACCTCGATCAATACCTCCTTAATCGTGGAACCCCTTCATTCCTCACCGCACTCAAAGATCGCTTGAGGCTACCAGGCGTACCAGAGGGTTCAAGCGAGTCGTACAACCTGTCATTGATAAACTCCCTTGTCATGTACATCGGAGTATCGTCAGTTGCTCAGGCCAAAGCGAGGAGTGGCTCTTCCGTGTTTGTCGCGAGTGACCCCGGCGTCGTTGCTCTACAGTATCTTGCTGCTAATTTAGATGTTGAAGGTGAGTCCAACAAATCCACTAGTTCATATAACATAGATTGACGCAATATGTAGGACAACACCACCTCTTGAGCTCCATGGTTCTCCATCTGCGATATCCCAACGCTCATACCCACTGGTTCAGCTCTTTGCTTCTCCACCTCTTTGTGGAGGTGAAAGACGATCGCTTCCGTGAAGTGATGACTCGCGTCCTTCTGGAACGCTTTATTGTTCATCGTCCTCATCCCTGGGGTGCTTTGGTCACCTTCATTGAGTTGCTCCGCAATTTGAAGTATGAGTTCTGGAACAAGGAGTTTATTCGCGTCGCACCCGAAGTCACCATGTTGCTTGAGAGCGTAAGGCACCTTGCTGTTTAGTTGAAATTCTTACTCAACACACATTGCAGGTCGCGAGGTCCATTTATCAGCCATAGACTCGTTTTGTCTTTGTTCCTGCTATCTGTCGCGCATATCTGTTTCTTTGGGTTTTTTCCTTGTTCTCTAACTGCACTCACTGTATTGTAACAACCTTCCACCGTTTTCAAGTGTTGAACAAGGTGTAACGTGAACTTTGATTATAGCAAACCTCCTGCACAACCTTGTCGATACACCTCTGGCTTGTTGATGTTTATAACGCCCTTTAAAAATCCCTTACGTTTACAATACTATGTACACCTATGGGCATTCTATGCTAATTAAGCCATGACATGCGAGCGTTGAATTCCCACTTTCCATTGTTTGACCTGTCAGCTGATCCCCAAACACTACAAGCATTATGTATCAGTCAAAAGGTTCTAAATATGAACCAGAACTTACCCCGCTCCCTCTGCACCACCTGCCCCGGTCCTATCTGCTCTCCCACCGACTACCAACCAGTCAGGTACTAAAACACCTGTGCGGATGGGAAATAATCGTAGCGCACGCTCGAGTCCACCAGAGTCAGATGATTGCAGGAACAACACAGTGTTTGCAGCATTTGATGTTTTGTTCACAAGGAAAAGCAAACCTGCAAGGCAACTTTCAGTATCTCTCGGGCTTGCCACCTCAACCCGACCCACCGGAAGTAGGGTTGTCGAACTTTTTGCCATTCAAAACCCAAGCTCCTCCTTCATGGGACCATTCGCTCTGACTGCGCCTTAGAAGATCTTTAACAAGCAAAGAGTTTGCGCAACCAATGACAACCATATTACCCCCACATGCCAGACCATTTTCTGCTTCATGCACAGAATATATTCGCGCATCAAGCAGATGGTAAGTTCGTAGGTTGTGAGCAATCCGCAAGGCTACAGACAACTCGGAGGAGCAATGTAGCGAGGGAATCACGATATCGATGATTCCGTCTGCGCTGAGAATAGCCTGAGCACGTCCATACGGTTGTTGGAAGTTCTCCGCGTGACGATCTACTACCTATCTCAACAGATCATGAAGGATGTTCGGATATCAAGATAGACAAGTTGACATTACCTTCCAACCGGTTGAGTTGCGATTGGTGTCTTGCTCTAGCCAGATCGCTTCAGCTTCCATACTAGCGTGCGCGATATTCTGATTGTCGATCACAAGTCTATTGACAGAAGTCTTGCTTAGGTCGAAGGAAACAACACTGATATTCAAGGCCTTGACATTCACTCCTCCTTCGCCATCTTGACATACTTCCAAACGACCGAGCCTGTGGTAAACAGCGTTGGGTCAAGCTTGTATACAGAGAAGAATCTCACAGACTTCCCGGGCACTTCGAGGGCGTGCACCCGCCAACCTCCCATTGGCCCGCTCTCTGCTGGGACAGCGACAGTAAATGTGAACTTACGACATTTCGTTTTTGGTACGTCGTAGGAAGAACAGCTAACGCGATCAAGAAACGCCTGAACACGAGTATTTTTAAGCACCTCGAGCCACCAGTGAGGTCGACCAGGCTCCTCGTGATACCTTCAATACAATGAGCGGTCATCGAGGACTAGAAACCAGTATAATACATACGTGACATCTGCGTCTGGATTCCATTCCCTGAGCACGCTCACTGCCTCGCGAGTGTGCCACGGTGGGACATTATCATCCATGCCACTGGTCGGTAGTTGAGCAACTTCGTCGTGAAGGAATCATTGCCAGACACACCCATGGATTGCAAGCACAGGCGTGTGAGCAAGATTGGAAAGGAATAGGTCATTGTCATCTGGTAGGAGCGATGTTTCTAGAACAGCTCGGAGCGCTGGGTCGCTGAAGTGGGCGGATCTGCCAAAAAGTTGGTCAGCACAGATACTATGAGACAAAGACGAAATTTTATTATACCTCGACATCGTCCATGGGACATATGCCTGCGACTTAATGTATCCCGCAGCAGCTACGACTATGTTTCACCGATCATATTGATTAAAGCCTCAAACATGGTTTGTAAAACATACCGGCTTTCACCTTGTCCGGCCATCTACTTGCTACGTACCACGCTCCTTGCCCTCCATTCGAATGACCAATGACAATAACCTTGGTATCTCGAGGATAAATCCAATCCACAAATCCTACACATAGTATATTGTGCAGGGCTGTCACCGCGGCAAAAGCATCAGCAGCAGAAGGACCATGCCAGTCCAGGCCCTGCGTCCATCAATCAAATCACTATAGTATGCACTGGAATGTGAATTACCCAGGAAGTTCGACCAGACGGAATGATCATCCATGCCCTGTCTTGTCGAGGGAGGCTGTCTGCCCAAAATGTTTGGTTAATGATGTCGACACCTGCGCCATCTAGAGATTTTAAATGGAAAAGAAAGTCAACATCCAAGAAAACTGAGCGCCATCAGGTGTAGACTATAACATACGCAGTGCTAGCAGTGGTTCTTTCGGCCCTCCTTCACCTTCTTTGTTAGAATATCGAGGGGGAAGTACCAAGAACATAGTTGGATTGCTAAAGCCCAAATTGTACGTCGCTCTAATGGCAGTGCAACTGACAGATGTCCACATGGGAATGTGTCTGATTGGGATATTGACTCTGAGTATTCGTTGCTCATCAGCATCACTGGATAAAGATTCATCGTGGAAGGGAGAGATTGTAATGTCGACTGGAAGCTCTGTGGTATCGATAGGGATCAGTACCGAATCAGGTTGGAACTCCAGCGTTAGTATATATGTTTGAGTCGGGGCGAGTCGTACTGTCGTCGAAAGGTTGCATAATGAAAGCCCCAGCCCTGCGGAAGATGGAATCGCAGCCGACACTACTGTCCACCATCCTGATATTGAATTAGTGTTGCGGCAAAAATCAACGTTTCGAAACCCAATTCCTAGCGTCGAGGAGAACGGCCGGCCGTTGATGAAGTCTGGTACGACATCATGAGCAGGTGCATGTAAGACGGGTGTCGCCAGATAAGGTGATGTTCCGAGTGATGAAGGGGTATCAATTGAGATAGTAAAATTAATGCTCAAAATTGGATGTTCTGAGTTGTATGACCGAGGGTCACCAAAGAGTCTTATCTAGTGAAGAACTCAGATGATGTTTTCAATTTTCGAGATGCCGGATCACCTCATAAGGTCCGCCAAGAACTACTTGATATCGGGTCGCCTTGTCTCTACATGGAGACGTTGGGAGCGAAACGAACTGTACAGGGGCGCGCTCGAGAGCGTAAACATTCCCCATGTGCCATTCCGAGACATGTGTTGTCCAAGTTGTCTCGTCACCTGGTAAGATGGAAAAGTATGCGCCTTGGAGACACTCGACACGCAGGCGTGGATCGGCCTCAGTACTCTCTCGCTTAGAAACTGGAGGATAGACGGTGATATACGTCCGGAGGACGTTGTGATGCTGCAGTGCTGCCCATCCCTCGGTCGCACGAAGCTGCTCCCACCGAATATTGGGATGAGATACTTTGAGACTTCCGTGTTCATCCGAGCTGACTTTCGACCAAGAGACATATCCGCCATCAGCATAAGCAGATGGATAGGTGCGGGTCAGATCTATATTCTTAGACACTTCAAAATCCACAGCAGATTAGTTCATACTCATAGTACACGATCAATATGATTGCCCACAGTCAAGGGGAAACGCAGGAGAAAGGAAGTGCTGTTCCCTAGCGTGGATGGGGAAAGGTCCGAGAACCTGAATCACAGCAACACGTCAATACCCGCACGTTGTACTGTGTCCCACTGGATGGAGTTGAGGCAATAAGTTAAAGAACGCACATCCCATTCTTGAGACATAGTGACACGCCATTCTCTGGTGCAAGTCGTGACGCTCATGACGATCTAGGAATGTTAACTTGGCCTAAGCGACCGACTATTGTTGAAGGGTGGACTTTACTTATAAGCCTTCAACTCAGACTCTCATCGTTTAGCTCGGAGCGGAGCTCGGAAGCTACATCAACTTGGAGGAGCCCCAACTTGCAAGTTTTTTCTGGCCAACGCCTAAGCAATATGATTGTACAATGATAACGAAAGCTTGTTGTTTGCTACAACTAATAATCAATCAAGAAGTGCTTTTAGCATTAATTGCCTTCTGCTGTGCACTGAACGTGGTGGAGACGATCGGACAGCCCTTCCCAGCACCATTCAAGTTCTGTATCGTAACAGCAGCAGCATTCAGACGCGCACTTTGCGAGGCTGTGCTGTTATCGGTTGGGAATGTGAGTTGCACCGTGGGATTGAGAATGACATGGCCCGCGCGGATATTAGCAGTCAGGTTCTAGAAGAATGTCGGTTCCCTGCATGAAATTGAACATTAAATGAACGACATACTGCGATATAGTGCGTCTGATCAGGGGGACATTGACATGGGATAAGTATTGGCTTCCCGTTTGTACCATTGACGGCACCATCACAATTACCAGTGCCTGATAATATTCATGTGAGCCTCTTATACATTAGCAGGCGTTCAAAAATTACTGCTTACCGTCCGAGTTGATTCCAGCTTGCCATCCAAGGGGCGGTGCCAGAGTGGCAATTTGTTCATTAGTGGGTGAAACAGGATTATTGTTTGAAGTGATGCTCGTTGGGACGGCAGTGTTCGTGACAGAAGAGCTCGTTGGCACACCGGAACGCGCGGGTGTTGCTGACGCAGTCGTAGGTATTGCAGCACTTGAGGATATGAAGGTAGATGAAGCAGGCATATATACCGAAGGCGTGGCACTTGAATTTCCGTTGCTAGATGCCTCTGCACTGATTGCATTCCTCTGTGCAGAAAAAGTGGTAGAAGAAATTGGGCACCCAACACCAGGGCCTTCCAAGTTTTGCAGAGTGACCGCTGCTGCATTTAAACGAGCAAGCTGAGATGCTGTGCTATTATCTGTTGGGAAAGAGACCTTCACTGTGGGGTTTGTTGTCACAAAGCCCGCCGCCACATTTTTATCAAGATTCTACCACAGAAGTCTATGTTCAGCAGTGGGCAACACAATCTTTGACTGGAAGGCTCACAGCAAGGAAGAACGTTGAATTTGGCGGGCATTGGCAAGGTACTAAAATAGGTTTCCCATTAGTGCCATTCACAGCACCGTCACAGTTACCCGTGCCTTTAGAAATATCTTAGTGCAGTGTTGAAGCACACTATTATTTTTGTACTCACCATCTGGATTGATACCAGATTGCCAACCGAATGACGGTACTAGCGCAGGGTTGACATCCCGCTTACTTTGAGAGGGTAGGATACGAAAGGGAATGGCCGTAACTGAGCCTGCCAGTATTATGGCCGAAATGACATTAACAAATAACATTGCGTGAAATGAGTGGTATTGAACACTGTCGAGAACCCTGCTCGATTGACGAAAAATAGAAATGATTGAAAGGTCGCTCGCGACAAAGGGCTCGACGCAGTCGAGGGAGTTCTGGTTGAAGATGCAAGAGTGACCCAGCTAGACACGGCAAGGCATAATAACACTGTACCCACATCTTTAGGTTATTGTTCGACGTTGCTGGTTACTAGAAAACCGTTGTATACGCAAATGGCTTTACAATTACGTAATACACCTAAGACGGTCTCAGGGAACGTTAACCTGGAACCGAATCTGAATGCTAGCTGGGCTGGCGGAATCACCAAAAGTTAATGAGATCTTTGAACTTATCATTCAAGTTGAATGTGATACAATGCAACCAATGTATTCATTCAAAACAATTCAGAAGTGCTCACTCTTTGCAGCTGCGACCGGCGGGGGACCGACCGGCAAGACCGGCCATGGACAAGTTTAGGTAGTCACCCTCAGGCGGCCTCGCAAGTTCTTATCAGACATAGACACTGTGTCAGGTTCAACGATGTCGAGACAAGGTGGAAAGCTAAAGCCTCTGAAGGTTCGTTTTCTAACCGCCTCAAAACCGTGCTAAAGCCTCCTTTAAAATCGCTAGGCACCAAAGAAGGAACACAAGGAGGAAGATGAAGATGACAAGGCCTTCAAGGACAAGAAAAAGGCCGAAGAGGCTGCTTTGAAGGCTGCAAAGGACAAAGGTACGTTTTAACTTGCCACATTATAATAAACCTATCTAAGCGGTGGGATCTAGCTGTGAAGGGTGAGTGTTCAAAGCACCTCAAGTCAGGATAGACTAATGATTTTGACAGGTGGTCCTCCTGGTGGCGGAATCAAGAAGTGCGTGTAGTGAAATCTTCATCTTGGTCGATCTGATCAGTCTTTTTTCTTTAGATCAGGAAAGAAATAGAAGGGGAATAATAACTGTTACAATCCATCTCTTGTATGATCCATGCTCATCAACGATCTCAGTCTTAGCCTGCGTCCACTATCTGCCACCTTGAGTATCTTGACACATAGTTCTTGCGCGCTTCAAGAACCACGAAGAAGGGAAGCAAAAGTTTGATACTTGGATTCTAGCATCGTTCTCGAAGTAACCTTTGGGCTCGGTCGTATCAAGAGCCTGGTTCTCTCATCCCGTTGACTCCCGCTCGGTCATCGAGTCTAGTCTGTGATTAACCGTGTCCTATCATGCGCCATGACACCGAGCTGTGTGAAACGCTAGGTTGATAAATTTCATTGGAATCTCACAAAAAAATTGGTCAGAGCCCGATGGTCGGATGTTTGAATCAGTTTATGCATGAATATAATATACTACGGCAGTAATAGTACTAAGGCGCTTTGTGAATGAGTGAAAGTGCTTCGTGGACTCGCCTTTCTCCGTACTTCCATTGTCGTGGTCGTTGCTGTTACCATCGTGGTCGCCGTTGTTGACGTTGAACTTGTCGTTTCCCGCCTTCACACTGAGGCGGTTGTTTGTTGATTGCAAACACTGGAAAGCAGGATTATAGGAACCCACCGCCGATATGCTCACAAGCTCACGGATCAGCAACATTGCCACTTCAAAATCTCCTCCTCCTAACGGTCTTCTGTCGCAAAATAATAGCAGCAACAGCTCGCAGCAGCGTGACCCTTTGACTGCATTATACCACCAGAACAACCAGAGCACACAGTCAATCTCTTCAACGCCCAACATTCACCATCCACAGACGATTCAAATCCCTATGCTCGGCACCTTGCAGGTGCCTCAGCCCCAGCAAAATCAGGGAGGCCAACAGCAGCAGGGTCAACTTGGTCAGCAACAACCCCAGGGCCAGCCAGGGCAAACCCAGGGCATCCCACCCCCACCTCCACAGAATGGGCAAGATTTCAACCTCTCCAGTGTCTTGCACTTTTTGCAGACAGAATGGCGTCGTTACGAGCGTGATAGAAACGAATGGGAGATTGAGAGAGCTGAAATGAGGGTGAGTGCTTTTATTCTTGTGTGTATATGCGTCCCACCGCGAGTCACTTTTTACTTTTGGCTTTTCGCATCACGAAAATGCGTTTTAGTTTGCATGCTACATTTGTTGCTCAATTTCTTGTGTTTGGGACGTCGCGTACTTATGGGTCACAATAGGCTCGCATAGCTCTCCTTGAGGGCGAGCGACGCTCGTTCGAAAACGTCAAACTCGACCTCATGCGTCGCATAAAAATGCTGGAGTATGCTCTCCGTATGGAACGGTTCGTGTTCTTCTTCTGCACGCGCCAGCCTACTCACGCGTGCTGCCTCCCTCTTTTTGTTGAATTTGCGCATGTTCTCATGCAATGTGTTCTTCATAATACTGTGCAATAGCTCAAAGCAGTTAACTGCGCCAACTGGCACCGCTCAGCAGTCGAAATCAGCCACGCTCCAGCAGCATGGCTCAAAAGATGATGTTCAGAGCCACAAGGATGGAAGCAGTGGCAGCTCGCCACGTAGTGACGGTGCGTGTTGCCCAATTCTTAGGGTGTTGTTTATTTTAGTACCGTATTTGACGTTGACACACCTACCATAGATTCCCCTCTGCCCTCCGAACGTATTCCGAATGGGACCTCTGCACTTCCAGCACGACAACCCTCATGGCCCGGTACGAGTGCGAACTGGAGCGGAGGTCTCCCATCCGTTGGTTCCATCGGTAAGCTCCCACCAGGACGCGATCCAAAGAGCCGCGCACGGAGTAGAGACTATCTCAAGCAGTACGTTTTCTCGTTACCTTTCGAGTTCACTTCATGCATGCTCATAATCTTCAGATGTCTCCAGGAAATCTCATACCTCACCTCTCCGCAAGCAATGAACCCACTCCCAAATCGTCCGCTCATCTCATCAGGACTCGTAAACCCCACAGCGCCCAGCCAACCCTTCGAGGCGATCTACAATGGCCGGCCTCGTAAGGCATTGCCGGAATCTGGGCCAGGGGTCACAGTTGTTAATGGACCGGGGAATAAGGACTTCCCGATGCTAAGTGGTGGTGTGAGTTTGATGCCAGGCCCAGCATCGACAGGACCATTGGAGCGAGGGAGTCCACTGAACAATGTTGGTGCGAGCATGTTCCAGCAGCAGCAACAGCAACAGCAACAGCAGGTGCAGAGCCAAGAAAGGTCACAGCCACCTCAACTACCCCAGTCTCAGCAGCCTCCATCACAGCAGGCGCCCCTGCAGACAGCGCCACAACCGCCTCCAGAGAAAGAGGGAGCACCGGCTGCCGAGTCGGAGTCATCCCGCCATTTAACGGCGATTTTCCGTCCTGATGATCAGGGCGAGTGGCGAGAGAAGTTGCGGTCCTCATACGAACAGCACATGAAAATGCAACGATGGCGCGATGACGAGGAAGGCGAGGGTGAGGGTGAAGAAGTTGGAGAGGACGAAGATGAGGTGGAGAGCGTAGGTGTTGGGGTTGAGGAGGGTGAAGGCGACGGAGCAAAGATATGGAAAGCTAAGCGAACATTGAGAAAGTGTGTACTTCTGCCACTAGAAGTTCAAGTATTTGGTGCTGATTCTGGCTCTCAGTCATCTGGACGCAGTACGTGCACTTGCATTCCACCCCACGGAACTATGCCTTGCAACCGGTGGAGATGACTGCACAGTAAAAATATGGCGCATGGATGTCGCGAATTTAGCATCTTCTGCGTTGGTGTCCTTATTTCTCTAGCAGGCATGAGACTAACTTTCTTTTAGTGCTCGCCTCACGACTGATTTCGAGCCTCAACTTACCCTGCGTGGCCACTCTGCCGCAATAACACGTCTCGTGCATTCCCCTACTAAGCACCTCATCTACAGCGCATCGCTCGACTCAAGCATTCGTATCTGGGCGCTGCCCTCGCCATCACACACGACATACGCACCATACGATGACAGCTCTGCGCGTGGAGAGCTGGTGGGGCACACTGACGCCGTCTGGGACCTTGCCCTTGTACGGGACGAGAATGCGTTGGTGAGTTGTGGTGCTGAGGGCTCCATAAAGGTATGGGATGTAAGTGGAGCTGCAGAAGGTCGTGCGCCTCTGAAATTGTCGTGGGGCTACTACGGCTTGGACCACGAAGGGAACGAGGAGGAGGAAAAGGAAAAAGAGCCAGGAGCAACTGCGGTCGAGGCGATCAAGTCTGACTTGAAAAAAGTGGCAGTGGCATTCCAGAACGCGGTGGTAAAAGTGTTCGATATCGAGACTGGAAGAGAGGTGTCAAGATTAGCGACTGATGCCACGTATGGTGCGTGCCTCGATTCTCGTTGCTTCTGTCGACAATCACTGATGATACTTTTCATCAAGATGGCACACCTGCAACTCAGGTGAACCGTATTGTCTCCCATCCCACGATATCGTTCCTCGTCACTGCTCATGAGGACAAGTTCATCCGCATATTCGACATATTGTCAGGTACGTTCTATTTACCAGCCGGGTTCCTCTACATTCACTGACCGTATATGAAGGTCATTGCACGCACACCATGCCTGCTCATCTTGACGGGGTAACATCGTTGTCGATCGATGCAGCCGGATTCTCGCTCGTGTCTGGCTCGCATGACTGCTCCATCCGCTTCTGGGATCTTCTCGGCTCGCGGACCTGCACGCAGGAGATCACGACACATCGTGAAAAGGCAAAAGAGGGCGTTCTCGACGTCGAATTCCACCCTACGTTACCCTTCATGGCAAGCGCAGGCGCAGACGGCGTTGTCAAGCTCTACGCATCGTCATAGCCTGCTCACGAAACGAACGGACATAATTGACCTCATGATGTTACGCATTATAGATATCTTCATACGTATGCACTAAGGACGGTCTTTATGTTCAAATCCGTATTGGCTCTTTTTCTTGTTCTTAACACTGTTTCCTGTATATTCCTTTTTTGCTGTTTGCAGGTGATTTTTATGTTATCGTCGGTATTTCGTGCGATCGTGCAAGTACGTGAGGGAGTCTGATTAGACGGTACGTAGCGTTCGAGTAGTACGTGGGAAAGAAGTTCGAAGGTACGTAGTGCGTCAACGTCCGAAAATGAATTGGGGAATGAGTGATAAAACAAACTGGTGGTAAAACGACAGCTGCGAGATGGAAAATTAGGGCTACAGTGGTTCAGTGTACACACGGCGGGGACTGGTATCGACGGATTTCTCCAAAAATAAATAGCTCAACAAATAACTGAACGAATAGGAAAGGTTTGTGGAGGAAAAGATTCAGATAACTTGAAGAGTAATAAGTTAGTATACCAAGAATATTCGCCAAAGCCGATAGGACGATTGGACCCACCAATCTTCATGCCTTGGTCTGCAGTGAGAAGTTCAACTCCTAATTGGTGCGGTGCAAGCAGCTCACGACATTGGTCACCGATAACGTGGTTGATCGGTCGTTCTGTAGAGAATTGCTCCTTGCAGTGCATGATGTAAACTTTGACACCTTCAAGTGCCCCATGAAGGGCCTCAGGTGACATGGAGTTTTTCCGTTGTTTCTTTCGTGGCCTTGATCCTGAGCGGGATTTACGTGCTTTTCGGGCGATGACAACCTCTGTTGCTAGCGTGACCAGCTCCTGTACCAAATGTAGGGGACTGAGGTGACCCCAAAGTTCCTCATCCGGCCGCCCTGTTTGGTACGAACACTCAATGAAGATGGTAGATATGTCATGCGGTATCTTTGGTGCTGCTGCACGCCAGACTGCGATGTTCCTTGGCTTGATAGAGACGCTGTCAGGCTCCACATCCCCGAAAAAGATGAACTCATGGTTTGTGGGGTCGTGTCGAATGAAAAAGCAAGCACCGTCATACGGACCAGAGTCGTTCATTCCGTGGCTGACGGTCATGAGGCGAACAGAAATATTGGGGAAGATAACCTCGTATTTGCCATCTGCGTGGAGGCTGCCAGGCCGGATGGCAGATTTGAGGTTGATGACTAGATATTGACTGGGATGAGACTCACGCGTGATACACCAATTGGAATAACGGGTCATTCTCATCATGTGTGGCTAATTTGGGCCATATTCTTCCAGAGAAAATAGTCTCTATGTCTCTGAGAGTCTGGGTTGAGCCATATATACGCTTCTTGGCACCGCCAAGGGTGCCCGCGGCCATTACAAGACTGCCTATATGGTCAAGGTGCGCATGCGTAAGGAGGAAACACCTGCAGAATCAAGTTAAGATACGGGCCGTGAGGTAGTAATATGAGAATGTCACTAACTTGACATTTGCATACACCGTGAGAGGAGTGAAAGATGCTTGATTCGCGTCTGTTGGGCGTTCTCCGAAGATGTTTGGGTCGCGCTTCATGATATGTCTAAGCGCGCCAAGACCCGACCCTGAGTGATAGCGTCAGATGCTGGTCGCGAGACACGGTTATAAGATTGCGCACCCGCCTCCAGTGCGATGATACCATCATTCCAAGCAGCCTCGCAAGGCTTGAGCAGATACCTGTATCATATGTCCGAGTCAAGATGGAAAAGCAGCGGAAAGAAGGGACCCACGCTGATAGGTTGAATTCGTCGGGTCCGCCACCGGAGCCTACCACAATCATCTCGAATGCGGCCATGGTAAAGAAGAGAGATTCGGCGGTTATCAAGTTCTTTTTTGTAATGTGGTTACAGCGCAAGATGATTATATAGGCCCGCTAAAATTTTTGACAGTCAACTTTGAACTTGCATAGTTTCCCTTCAGTTTCCCCGCTCACGGAAGCACTAGTGCGTGTATTTAAGGCACCAAGGTTCAACATTAAGACTAAGGATTTTGAACTGCCCTAGGCTTCTCCGCAGTATCATCCATTGTCTGAGTCACAGTACCTTATGCAGAACAATGAGCATGCAGGCATTCTCAAAAAGTGAGGTCGACTGAATCCAGGTGGAAATACAAGAGCTCTGCTGCAGGGTCACTCGAGGCCTGGCGAGACAAGGTCTCGGCGCTGACCCGTCAAAAATAGAAAGAAACCCTAGGAAAGGGGCATAAAGGAATGTCATTGTTCCGTTGGTTCTGACCTGCTCCTTATGAGTCGGGAGTGATGACGAGATTAAAGAAAATGGGATGAGTAGTAAGGAATGTGCATGCGTGCTCCGGAAGTACGTTCTGTTGGACACGTGAAATATTACAAACGGAAGATCAAGCCATCATAAGATATCACGTTCATCACGTCGGCCTCCGCCCTTATTGCGCTCCCAGTAAGCTATTCAATGCTCTTGGTACGTCGTAATCGAATGCTTCGAGCGCCGCAACAGCTTGAGTCCGACTGAAGCCCATAGCAGACAGCTGTTTCACAGGTTCTACGTCGTCTTCAACACCAGGTGTCACCCTCGGTTCCTCCACAACGGTCACATTCTGTGATAGATTTGATGGAGGAATAGGCGGTACTGAGTCCTGCTTCTTTCTCTTGCCAAACGGAAGGCGAATCTACGAGGCACCGATTATTAGTAATGTACCATGCGAAGTAAAGATAGTACATACACTGAGCTTAGAGTGCCGCGGGGGTGGCGGAGGCTTATCGTGAGCAGGTTCCTTGGTTGAAGAGCTTGATGGCCGCTGCAACTTCGGAGAAACAGCTCGAGGCGGTGGCGATGTGGCACGTCGCGGAGGGGAAGTAGACCGTATCGACGTGACGCGGGGAGAAGATGGACCTCGCGGTGATACAGGAGGGGAGACATTTGGGAAGGGCTTACTACCCTCGGACGAAGGTGGCGATGCAGAGGATGTGAATGACTTTGGAGTTTTAGAGGATGGTGCACTATCTAGCGCAAGGGCTTGAGAGGCATCAACGCCTCCGAATGCATCTTGGAAGCTTATGACTCCCGCGTCCGCCTGTTTTGATACTACCTTCTCAGGCTGAGGTGCATTGCTTGAGGCATCCCAGGGGCCCGATGAGAAGACTTCATCAAATGAGACCGGGGCTGCCGGCTGTGCCATAGCCACTTTTGGAGTAGCTGATATCCCATTGCTCGCAGGCTGGGCGAAGAAATCAGGTACCTCATTCGCATGTGTAACCACGTTTGAGGTTGTTGCAGGGATGCCATTGGCAGGAGCAGATCCGGTGGGTGGTGGTGGGAATGTAGAAGATGATGACATTGCTGTCCCGAAGTCAAAGTTATCCTCAAAGTTAGAATCGAAGGAGAAGGCAGAAGCGGGTTGCGCGGAACCTCCATTTGAGATCTTGCCGAGAGCTTCATCGAAACTATTCAAACCGCTCGTCTCAGATGGTTGAAAGAGCTGCGACGGAGTAGTTTCAAGCTCTGAGAAAGGAACACCAAAGGCATCTACTAAAGATAGGCCATTCTGCGAGGGGTCGGCTGAGTCTGGCTGAGGTGCAGTGCTGGAAGCAGGGACTCGCTCAGGCATATCAGTATTAACTCCAAAGATGTCATCAAAAGATGTCGGCGCCTGAGATGATAACGCTTCCAAGGGAGGAACCTCCTTGGCAGAGTGTGTCAGATGGTCGACAGCTTCCAACTCGTGGTTATCCTCGCTTTCACTCTCAGTGTCGTTCACCTCCAACTCCTGAAGGTCCGTAGACAGGTCTGTTTCCTTCTCCTCCTCATCCTCTGGCACGGGGAGCTGAGTATTGAAATTATCAATGGCGGGAAAGTGTGCGGCAACACTATCAAGAGATGAATCCTTTGCACTGGAATTGGGATTGACTGGTGTGATACTGGTTGGGGGAGTGGCGAAATGTTCATCGCTCGTGGGCGACGATACGACATCAACAGAAAAATAGGGACTGTCCTTCACACGAGGGGTCACAACGACAAATTCAGACCCATCTGTATCGGGCGCGTTGTCGGTCTGTAGCACGGGTTCTGTGTCGGGTGCCTGCGAAAACACGTCTGATTGCATTGTAGCCGGAGTATAGAGACCAGGTGATGATGACAGGCCAGGGGGAGTAGGATAAGAAGCATTAGGGAAAGACAGGAACGGCGACTGGGATCGCGGCGTCGATGCTCCTGAGGACAATGTCAACCTCTCGAATGGATTATTACTTTTGACACCGATCGGGTTCATGGCGGTGCCCGTAATATCAGGGGTCACCGGTAAAGGATGAGCAGCCGCGAAAGCAACTGAGTCCGGTGACTTAGAACGTTCCAACGTTGTCTGCGAAGGCGTAATCACAACCTTCTCGACCTCAGCCTCGGCTTCTTCTCTCTCTGTAATCGTATCGGTGAGGTCTTGCTGTACCTCCTCTAGCTCCTTGTCCACCTTAATCTTCTCCGACTCCTTGGCTACCAGTTGCTTTTTGGCAATGGCAAGAAGACCCTTCTGATGTTTCGCGTCTTTCTTCGCCTTCTCGACATCCTGCTTCACAACAGCAATTTGCGCTGTAACCTCTGCCATCCGCCTGTTCAAATCCCGAACCTCTTCCTTGTCGCGCAAGAAAGACCCTTCGATTTCTGCTTTCTCCACTCGGACAGCGCTGAGATCGCTCTCGTCCCTAATGAGTTCTTCCCTGATTCTCTGAATGTCAGCGATCTGAGCTGCGTGGCGATCACGGAGCGTGTTCAGAAGGGAAGTCTCTGTCTCGTAAGATGCTTTGGCAGCAGCAAGCTGAGTCTGGAGAGCTGAAAGCTGCGCAGCCTGATTGGCAAGCGTACTCTCTCGAGCTTCTCGCTCAGCCTTGGCGGTCTGCAGAGATCTTTGCGTCGAATTGAGTTGATTCTGCACGTTCCCAATTTCTACAGACTGGTCGTGCAAAATGGGCGGCGCATGTGTATCGTCATCATCGAGGAAATTCTTGTTCGACGCTGTTGTTCAGAGTATCAGTATCTTCTCACAAGGTGGCGCCGAACAACGCACGAGATGTAGCTGGAGAGTAGCCAAAGGGATTCTGTGAGGGTGGTGCGGGACGGGGCAAAGACCGCGGAGAGAGCGGGGTACCTGTCGTCTGGGGTTGCAAGATGCTTGTTGGAGGATGCGAGGTGGTCGCCGACGGCGGAGGTGAATCATCCCAAAGGAGATCCCGCACGGGTTCCGGATTGGGAGGTGCCAGTGGAGAAACAAATGGCACTTGTCCTCCTCGCATTGATGGAGGTACAAGGGTCGGAGGTAAAGTACTAGGGACGTCCTTGCCTGAGAGGTTGCCCTGAATGAGATGCATCGCGACTGCGAATCCATCACGGGTCAGACGGCCGTCATTATTGATATCTGCAAGATCCCTGCAAACCCAAAATGAGAAACAACAATACCCGAAGATAGACGTTTTATGATTACAGACCAGACTTGGGCCAAGACATCTTCCGGCAACTTGGATTGGAGCATGAATGGTACTGCAACATCACCTTCAATGTATCCTCTGTGCTGCGAGTCCAATGTATCAAAGTAGCGGTCTGCAGCAACCTTCTCAGCCGCAGTTACATCCCACTGGGAAACACCAGGGAAGGGGGGTATCGCTGGTGCGAGCCTGTTGGGTGCCAGGCGTCTGTTCGGAAGGGGAGGAGCTGTAGACGCCTGGCCTGTCAGCTGCGGCTGCACAGCATTATGCCTCGGTACTGGTGCAAAACCTGGGCTGCTGAAATTCGCACTACCACCGGTCGCGTGAACAGAAACCCCTCCGGCCTGCTCGTATAAACTTGGCGGAATGGAAGTCGGAATAGATGAGAGTTGACCGGCCATGCAGGCTTGAATTAGGTACATGGCTATGGTAAAGTCAGTTATGTCGAGTACGCCTCGGTCTTGTGTGTCGCATAGAGTCCTGTGACGACATGAGATTTGTCAAACTCAGATATACTCGACGCACCATATTTGAGATAGTTTATCCACAGAGAGTTTGGATTTGACGAATACATTGCGCGCTTTGTCGCCTTGAATTGAAGAAAACAATTAACCCCTACTATGTAGGAATGGGCTGACATACCATTGAGGAGGCCATTAATGGGCCCACACCCCTGGAATATCCGTGTAAATTTGGCCCTGTCTTGAGGAGTCAATGGTGGCAAACTGGGAGGTGGTGATTTCGGTATTGATGCACCGGTGCCTTGTGGAATCAAAGGCGTCTGTACGCCTTCAATATTGGCTAGGGGTCCAGCTAAGGGCCCAATATCAGTAATATGACATGGTGAAGAGCGGTGAAGCTCACGTTTGTTCACAAGAGACTTATCGACCTTCTGGCCTTTCTGAGCGTGGCCCATGAGACGAACTGCAATTGAGACACCCTTCTTGGTCAAAAAGCCATTGTTGTCATCATCAGCAATATTCCAAATCTCGCCCAAGACGGTCGGTGCTAGTTTTGCACCCTGGAAGACCTTTACGGCGACGTCACCGGTGAGGATTCCGATTTTCTGGGTATCTGCCTGAGTAAATATCTGATTCACGAGTGCAAGCTCTGCCGGAGTCGGCGCAAAATTGCTCGACATCGTGTGGGCCGTTGACGACGTTGGAAGTATAAGTTACAGGACTACGCACTTGCTTACGGTGAGTAGGAGAAGCTGGCCCACAGCCGTTCTTGCCGATGGATCTTTCCATTCAATTGAAACTCAGAATAGGTCTTTGTTTGTTATTGTTTCCTACGGACCTGTGGAAATTTCGATAATGACTGCACGTGACTGAGCGCGTCCACCTGGTACTCGAACCTACTTGAACTGACAACTTCTTGGGGCTCTTATCACTTTTCTCTTGATCGACATTGTATCTGCAAGCTTAGACATTATGGACCAGATTACTTCCGCCCTTGCTCCCCCCAGAACTTCTCACAAAACTGCCGTCTCTGGCTCAGCACCTGACGGTCCTGGTAGTGTGACAAAACGGTGAGTATGTTGCCACATGTCAAGTTAACATTTATGCTCACCATCATTCTGCAGCTTGAGCAACGAACTAATGACCTTGATGGTGAGAACTTAGTCTAGTTATGCCTTTCATTAGATTCTCAGCACTTGCTAGATGTCATCATCTCCTGGTATCGTGAGTGATCCTCGAGTGCTCCTCGTGCTTCTGTCTCATGTACCGCTTAGTCTGCCTTTCCCAAAAGTGACGCAAACTTGTTTGAATGGGTAGGTACGATAGAAGGCCCGGCGGGGACCGTACGTGGCGCGCGCATGCACCATTGACATTAGTACTAAATACCATGCTAGATTTATGCCGGACTATCATTCCGAATTTCTATCTCATTCCCCAGCAATTACCCGTATTCACCACCTACGATCAAGTTTGACACGCCCTGTTATCATCCCAACGTTGACATTGCAGGAGGCGCAATCTGCCTTGATATCTTGCAGGTTCGCTACATTTCCTTATCATGATACATAGTACTCAGAACTTTTCCAGGACAAATGGTCCGCTGTATATAGCGTGCAGACTGTATTATTATCGTTGCAATCACTGCTAGGAGGTTAGTTGTTGAGACGGCAGTGCATGTTTTGTTCACTTACCGTATACAGAACCCAACAATGCTTCTCCGCTTAATGGGGACGCTGCAGGGCTATGGAATCAGCCTGATGGTCAGTGATTTTCGACGTACGGGCATGCAGTTTCTCATTGTTCCTCTTATAGCTTTCAAAGCTCAATTGCTCAAACACTACCGCCCGATCGAGACCTTCACATGACGCTGTTGTATTGCTTTGATGTTTCAGGGTTACAGGCTCTTTTGTTATTACATACGTTGATCGTTGTGTTTTCGAAGTCGCACATTTGTAGATGGTGATATGTTGCCGTTGTTCGATGGTATATCTCATCCTTTGCTATTATGATCCAATGAGAATAAGCTTTCAGGTTGTTGGCAGCTCTTTGTGCATGACACAGCCATATTGACAATTGTCCAACTTTGAACCACATTCCTTCCTCCTGTGGATATTTCGATTTTGCTGGTCTCGTCGAAATTACGTGTCACTCTTTTGTCCTCTATCCTTGTGTCTGTGTCTGTGTCTTGTTGTTACCAATATATAAAAGAAGTTCACTTGGTTAGTGCTTACTTGTCTTTTTCTTTCTTAATCCTTGACGATTGAAATCATCAAATCGACTATAGATCGACTGTACAAGTTGTAACCATGCCCCGAGGCCCTCGTCGTGCACCTCCTTCTGCTCTCCGTCTCGTGCAGGGACCTCTCCCACCACGTGCTGCTCCAAAACACACACTCCCTTCTCTTCCTTGTCCCGCTTTCCGACCCCTCCCTCATGAGCCTATTCCCCAAGCTCGCATACAACGCTCGGATTCAATACGACCCATATTGTCTGACCTGCCATCACTGGATGTAGAAATCGCAAATACCTACAGCTCCTCATTGTTTACTCCAAGATCATCGTCACCAACATCGGGGCACTGCATTCGTGGCCCTTGGAATCATTCAAGCAGCATTAGCGTGCAAGTGGACATCGATAGTCTGATCGCGTTTCCAAAGCCTGTAGCATTTTGTCTATAATTCTACGTGGAAGAGCTGTATCATCAAGGTTTCTCAGCTGGGCTGAGTGGTATTTTGTTGTTGTTGTTTTTTTACGAGACTGGTGCTCAAGGTATTTTGTATAGCAAGGATGCTCGATGCATACTTTGTATACATCGTAGCGTAGATCACTTCGAACCTTAGTACATAGTCTTATGGAGTTCGGTCGGCTGTGGATTGTAATGTGGGAGATCTGCAGTCCCTTATGTAAAATGGTACTTCATGTCTTCACGACTATCTCTATCTAGCTCTCCCACCGGGTTCGCCGTCGGCCTGCATTCGTGTTCTGGCGTGCTCTTGCCTTGAAGGTGCCATGCGATGCATCAGCTGACCTTGCTGCGGTTGCCACGAGCGTCTAAAGTGGTCCTACCTTGTAATATTAATGGTAACTTGAATATGTCTCGTCAGCCGTTCTTTGCTAACATTCCCCAGGCTGATGACGGTCCTCCCGGACACGCGGCGTCCTGGGAAAGCCCAATCAGCTCATTCAAGGCCGAGTCTGTTGTTGAGCACAACTGGACTATAATTCCCTCGAATGTCATACCCTGGATTGATTTCGACAGCGTTCGCGTTGATGATCATTTCAGGTTCTGAATCATGATTGGTTTAAGCGGTCGGATCAGGTGGAAAATGTCACTAAAGGATCAGCCTTCACTGTCACGCATGGTGGCAAGTAAACGAGTTTCGTCCTTAAGCGCGGCTCCGACTGGAAACTGAAAATTCATTGATGTCGGTCGATGTTTTTGGTGTTGAAAGTTGGACGACTAATAAGAAGCGAAAGAAGCATGCACGTGTTACGACCATGCCGGTTCGTCATTCTTTTGCTTCTGATCCTTGTTTCATCCAGGTGGGCTGTTGGCCCTTGGGATTGACTTGTAACGTTGCCAGTCCGTGATGTTCGTGTCTATAGTATAGCCTTGACCTTTCTGTGTGGTTTTAAGTATTTTTGAATAGACTAGAGCTCAAGAATGTGTGGTGACATGGAAATCAGGGTGGCGTGTCACAGGTGTGTTCTGGTTTGGCCACGAGCCTTATTTTCGGCGTTCATCATCCTTGAGTTTCTTATACGCTTTTTGTCTGTTCGCCTTGTTCTTTCTCTCTCTTGAACTGCCGTTACGACTGGTTTATCAACTTGAAGACTAGCCTAGAATCTACGGTCAATCTTATTCTTTTCTTTTGACCATCATGACAAGCTCTCCAACGCCTGACATCGGCTCTCTATCTCTCAATCATCGCCTCCATGACAATTACGATTATGACAACAGGCAACAGTATCAGTTCAGTGCAAACCAGCAACTTTCAGGCCAGTTTAATCCTCTAGGTGGTATGGCTCCATCTCCCCTCAAGATGAAGCCCTCCCGTGCTGGTCTTCCCACCGTAACTCATTTTCTTTTCAAAATATCCTAACATTAAAATCATTCCTTAGCAATGGCTTGATAATTCAATGGTCATCCCTGATAATCGCCCTCTATCCCCTCACAACAACTCAGATTTTTCTTCCTCCGGTAGTTCGCCCCCTTTGGGTCATCTACAAGCATCTGCTCTTGCTCCTTCGACGCCTAACCAAAATGCTGACGATGAGGTTATACCAACCGCCATCGTCGTCAAGAACATTCCTTTCAACGTCAAGCGCGAAACTCTCCTAGATATCATCGTGAGTTCCTCATTGTTTTCGCCATGAGATCCGACTAATATCTCTATTTTAGGCTTCTTTGTCCATTCCTACTCCTTACGCGTTCAATTACCACTTGGATCAACAAGGCTCTTTCCGTGGTCTCGCTTTTGCTAATTTCCGACAAGCGGCAGACGCTGACGCAGTCGTGGCTGCCTTGAATGGATTCGATGTCCAAGGCCGTAAGCTTCGTGTTGAGTACAAGAAAGTTCTTCAAGCCGGAGAAAAAGAACGTATCGAAAGAGAAAAGGCTATTAGGCGAATGCGCTCCATGCAACTCGAAAAGGAGCAACAACAAGCAGTCCACCAAGCATACGATGATTTTGGTCCCGTCACGGCCCCCGCTTTCACCCCGCAGCGATCCTTCTCTTCTGGTGCTTATCAACAACAACAGTACTCACCTCCGCCCATGCCTCATCTTCCAATCTCTCAGCCATTTAACCCCGCCTCATCCCCTCCAATTGCCCCCGCAACACCAAATCCATCAGAGAAGTCTTCGTCCTCTAATGAACTGGATCTCAACGATCCTTCTACTCTCGAAATCTATTCTCGCATCTTACTGTTCAAGGACGACAGAATGAGGGATGAACTCGCATTTTCGAGGACACTCTCACCCAAGCAAAGGAGGGTCGTTCACTTGATTGCTCAGAAGTTGGGCGTGTATCACTATTCGGTTGGAGAAGGCGATGAAAGGTACGCCGTCGTAACTCGCATCGATCCTAACAGGGTAGGTACTTCCCTACATGCCAAGCCTTTAGTCAGTCCCTGACTATTGAATCAACAGACTCAACGAGCTCAGGCTGCCACCCTGTCGCGTGCCCCGTCTGCATATCTTTCTGCAACTTCCTCACAATCGCAGCTTGCAAGCTCTTTACGCATGAAGAAGTCGATGCCTGACATGAAAACCTTGCATACTCAAGCACCCCGCTTGGCCACTCGTGCGTCGAATGGCAATATTAGGGAAGGTTATGCAACGATTGCCTCCCCTTCTCGCCGCTCTCCGGGTGGTTTCGGTTCGCTCTTTGGCAGCAACTTTGGCAGCTCTGCCATCCCACCCGTTCCCAGTCTGCCATCCAGCGTTGCTGGAATGAATATTAATGGCAATAGTTTTAATGAGAGTAGTAGTGTTGTCAGACAACCACGAGGTCCTGGCGTGGGTGGATTTGGTCTGCGTCGCGGAACGAACAGTGACCAAGCGCGTGGCAACGGACTAGAAGCCAGATCTCACGAGCCGTTGGAGATATAGATCTCACCAGACACCTACGGGCCTTTTTCCTCGTTAATGCTTTTGAGTGTCCCACAACCAGGGTTAGATTTTGCTCGTATTAATTATCTTCCTGCGTAGCTTGATTGCTTGCTGGTTCTTTTCGCTGTTATGATTTCCTGATTCAGATTTTTTGTATACCGCACCATCAATTACTTTTATCCTCTATCCCTCAAAAGTCGAATTGCCCTACTCGTAATTTCCTGTACTTTCGTTGCCCGGATCGCTCTCTTTACACCTCTGCTTTCCTCTCTCTGGATTCTCTTGCTGCGACCATTTTATACATATCATAGGCCTGATTGACTTTGTAAATATATGCTGCTTGATGCACCATAACTTCTAAGTGTTGCTCACCGCGTATCGGGGCGGTACTGCGGGTCGGTTATTTATTTTCAAGGCTTCTGCCAAACCAGTGATCCGAGTGGGACTGACTCAGTTGGAAGTTCGAACAGAGACGCGTCCATAACTTTTCAACACATCTACTTCAATTACCACAAAACTAGTGTTCTGGTCTTGCCACAAATGCCGAGCACAGCTGTCATCCACGCTGCGTGTTTCGCGGTTGGCGCAGTAGTAGGAGGGGGTGTGGTCAGTGCTGTAGCATCCACGAGGAGGCAAATCCCTAGTATGACCACCTCACCCAGCGCATCCGTCGCCCCTCCAATAATCGAAATGGGCCAGAGTGGCGGCACGCAATTCTCGAATGCTGTTACAGTCTCTGCACTGTCGTCCCCGGTCTTAAAATACGGTCACCCAGGTGATTTGCACGTTGCACGATGATGATTTTGTTTCTCTCGCTTGAACTTGGGTTCTGAATAGGTCCTGTACCGGACCTCCTGGTTCGTAAAGCGTACACTGCTGCGTATGATCGGAGACTCAGGCACCCGGCATGGGTGAGTTATTTTTCTGGACTCCAGCAGTCATTGACCAACACTGCGTTCATTATAGACTGCAGAGCATCTTACTCTTGCATCTATTGGCAAATCCGGTCAGCAGCGTCTCTCAGGAGATGGGTCACCCGACCGCTCAAACTCGACGTTCGTGGAGGATGAGTCTCTCCCGGCGATGTTCCGCGCGAAGCTGCAAGATTACTTCCGAAGCGGGTATGATCGTGGACATATGTGCGTACGTCGGGCTTTGCTAAGGGGGCAGATTTTGACAAGTTTGAAGGGTCCCTGCTGCAGACGCCAAGCTCTCTCAGGAGGCTATGGATGAGACGTTTTTATTATCGAATATTGCGCCTCAAGTAGGCGCAGGCTTCAATCGGCATTGTAAGTAGGCGATACAGAAGATGTCTCAAACGCTGAATTTTGCTTCGTAGATTGGGCATACTTGGAAGACTGGTGTAGACGCCTCACAGGGTCTTTCTCTGATGTCTACGTCTTTACTATCCCGTTGTATCTCCCCCGAAAAGATGCAGATGGCAAATTCCGCGTGGTCAGTCTAGGTCATCAGTAACGTTATTTATCATGAATCACTTTTTTGCAGACATACGAAGTTATTGGTTCCCCGCCAAATGTTGCGGTCCCGACGCATTTTGCCAAAGTTGTACTGACCTCGAGACCTTTGTCGCCTTCAGCGCCAGATACACTAGAAATTTCTACGGGCGCGTTTGTGCTCCCGAATGCCATTATTCCTGACGACGCACCTCTGCAGAGTTTTGTTATACCAGGTATGGGTACAAACCTTTCAATATTGGGTGCATGACTGATGTGTTCCACTTAGTTGATGTTGTAGAACGTGCTGCTGGCCTCAATCTATTCTCAGACGATGTCAAGGCAAACTCCAAACACATATGCAAGAGCACGAAGTGCGATGTGGTGGTACGCAGATTCGATGATGCACAAAAACGGCCAGAGATGCGTCGGGCTATCTCTGCCCCCAAGTAGGTGCAATACCAGATGATATATCGATGAGTAGAAGAATATAGAGTATATATACTAGAAATCCGATAGCATATCTTTGATGCCCAACCAGTAGTCCTCATCCACCCGAGTCTTGATCTCACCCTTGGTTAACCAAGCAAAGTCTTGTGTATGCGTTCGGTTTGGGCGGACTTGACCAGCCATAACATGTGCTTTATAGAAGAAGACCACATTCTGCAGACGGTCCTGTCAGTACGAGATGCAAACTACAGGAAGCAGAACAAACCTCTTCAGCGCTACCCGTATTGGCTGGTGATGGAGGGTGGAAGACACCTATTGGATTGCGACCGACTATCCAAGTGTCCATATTGTTTCCACACTCGACTTCAAGTCCACGGGTCGCCGCCTGATTGGTCGAATATCAAGTCAAGCAACTCAGAGAAGGATCAATTTACTGACATGGTGCAAAAGCTCTCCCCTGTCCACGCTTCCCTGAGGGAACTTCCATACGGCCATCCCATTCTCTTGCTTTTGTAGCAATAGATATAGGTTTCGCTGACCGCGTCTATTCAGGTTTTTGAAGTCCGAGTTAATATCTGCTTCATGAACACGCGGCATGGCTTCTTCTTCGTCACGCATAGTAGCCTCGGCAAGCTTTTCAGCTTCGCTCGTCTCCCCAGTCTGCATACCAAAAGGTGCACCAAATGCCTTGCGCTCGCGTCTTCGCTCTTCTATGTTGAATCGCGATTCTAGAGGTGAACCCTGTTTAAAATAAAAGTCGTAAGGAAAGGGATTGTGCAGTGCGCGGTGGATGCGAGCTTGGTAGGCGTAGTAGGCTTTCTCGAAGGCCGTTGGTGTTCGGGTTATTATGGGTGATCGGTTCAGGATAATCCCGGTGTGTAGGTTGGGCCGTGCAGTCCTCTTTGACAGTACAGTATCTACTTGCGCGACTTCAGGCGCTGCAGAGGCTTCGGTCGCGAGTCTGCGAAGGAGGCATGCTGCAAAAAATGTTACAAAAGGTCTTAGGAGGACTATAAGGATGTCACGCACCTTTGGGTGCGCGTTTGCACGACGACAATACTGTTTTCGAGAACATCACCTGGACAGAGCAGGAATTGACCCGGAATTCAATTGAGGCGAGAATCAAAGGGGGTCGCAACCCCCCTGCGCGTGTGAAATGGACCAAAGGTCAAGAACTATTGGACTTGTATTGGACTCTAGACAAGCTTGGGTAACAATGTCCCTTTCCCTGGTTTTGAATGCACATCTGGACGAAAGTTCTGCAAAGATAAGGTCAAAGCCTGTTCCATGGGAGGTACGTCAACCAGATTTTATCAGTGCATGACACTCATCCCTGACTCAGGGATACCAACGTGCCGAACTGGTGACCTCGGAGGAGCTGGCTCTCATTAAGAAGGTAGACAGACAGCCCAGGGCAAAGGTTGAGTCTATCCTTCTGTCAGATGGCCAAACATACGCCCTATTATATCTTCGGCTTCTTAAGAAGTTGCAAAGGGTCGATACCATGCAATGCCTCCTGGTCTTGATCGCAGATGCACTCTTGGGTATGTTCCATTATAAATGTTTGGTAACAAAATACATGACGCCTATGTCTGTAGATCATGATGAACGGATACCGCTCTTTGCGAGGGCCGCTCAATCTGATCCCGACCTCCCTTATGCCCCTCTCATCAGGTACGCGTTTTCGGCGGTTTTTACTGGTTTGTAAAATCAACAGTCTCATGTCAGAACGCTGGAAGCTCAAGATGATTTCGTACAACTCAAATCCGCTCAAATACTCACCGTTCTGCTGAGGTGTGCATGATCTGCCTTCCTCAAGTCCGTTATTGACGTCATGTCTGCTCAGCTCAGAATCAACTCCCCTGCAGCATCAGCACCTTCAACCATTTCTCAAGGTTCTTTCATCGCTCGTGCAGAGCCAGTCACAAAACAAGCGTGACGTTGCGGTTCAGTGCTTAGAGTCTCTTCTCGCTCGTCCAGAATGCCGCAGGGCAGTATGGGCCATCCCTGGAATATTAGCAGGGTGAGCACTTATAGCATCGCTCATCGGTTCGCGTTTGACCTGATAGAACAGGTTCGTCGAAATCCTTCGCCATAAGCCTGGCCCTCAGATGAGCTACCAAGTGATCTTTTGCATTTGGTTGCTTTCATTCGAGCAAGATGTCGCCGAACAGATTAACAAGTGAGGGTTCGAGTCGCATCATCATGGAACTTTCTCAAAGTTTTGAAGGAAATACGATATCATACCTCTGTTGATCACAGTGGCACAGGCTGCCGTGAAAGAGAAGGTCATTCGTGTTATTATTGCCACTTTCAGCGTAAGCGCATTTTTCTCTCTCTTCCAGCATGCTTGATACTGATGTTTTCGAAGAATTTGATCACGAAAGCGCCTTCTGAGAATCTTCCGGCTATGCTTGTTGCGCAGCTTCTTCCGTTCTCCAAGAATCTTTTAACTCGCAAATGGTCCGATGAAGACATCTTAGAGGACCTACAGTATGTCAGAGATGAGTTAGAACGCAACTTTGAAAGCTTGACGTGAGTATGCTGCTACTTCAACCTCTCACTGACTAATGGGATGCAGGACGTATGATGAATATATGTCTGAGTTGGCATCTGGCCATCTGTCGTGGACACCAGTGCACGAGTCAGATGCCTTCTGGCGGGAAAATGCATCGAGATTGAACGATAGAGACTATGAGCAATTGAAGTAATGGCACCCTCATATATTAATTGCTCGATTGCTAATTCTTACTCCAGGACCCTCATCGGACTACTAAGCTCCGATGACCCTATAGTCCTGGCTGTTGCAGTCCACGATCTTGGACAATATGTGAAGCATTATGAACGAGGAAAGAGGTAAGCAAGGCCATATGACCCTGAACGTTACATTGGTCTAATTGTTTGCGCAGAATAATTACAGACTTGGGAGGCAAAGCCCGCGCAATGGAGCTCATGACCCATGAGGACCCAGATGTGCGTTATCATGCCCTGTTGTCTGTCCAGGAGCTTGTCAGCCACCCTTGGTCAGCGGTATAGTCTGAACATCGATACTGTCTCCATATTATCAGCACACGTACTACCGCCGTCATGATGTATGTTACGGCTATCGTTGTATCTCGTTCTACACGCTGCGTCTCGCATTCGTACGTGAGAATGCCATTCCTCTTTACATCTGCAATATCGGCGTGTTCATTCACCATGTTCACGGTGTCGCAACCCTCACGAGGTGCGTATCAGCGTGAAAAGGAAGATTTGATGCATTCATTGCAGTTCTTGACAAAGACAGTAATATTGGCAGTGTTGCAGCATGTAAGGTTTTAGTATCGTAAATCCTGTGAGGCACTGGTGCTCTTGCACAATTCAACCCGTCGCGAATAACGCGGACGACCAAATTGCTTATACATAGCGAATGCAACGTACTGCAATAATAAAGCAAGGTCAGTCAAGGACAAATCTTTGAGTTATTTGGACAAACTAATTCATATATCATCCTGACAGGAGTGAATATCAAGGGATGATATCTGTTCTGCCTCGATTGGCCGAAGTGTATCAGCATGAATCCAAGTAGAAAGAGAAGTTCGTCTAGGGGCCTTCCCTTGATTGGATCAGTATGAATTGAATCTTCTAAGCCAAGTCTGTGGGAGGTGATGTGGTATGCGGGCTCGAGGGTATTTTCAGAAGGCTGGCACCTTCTACGCTTCACTCGAAACCGCTTGTCTCCATCATCAAACCGTGCATTCCTGTCTTGGCTCATGGCTCCGCTGTGGTCTGGTAGCACCCGAGGACCTTACTCAGATCTCTGAGGAAGAGAAAACGAGCGTTGGGTGAGGTTATCCTACAGAGTGTCACAATTTCTTGTTTGTGTACCCGCGGGTAAATGCAACACCACGGGTAAGCTGCTATACCGCGGGGTGCGGTGTTGATCTTCCGACCCGCGGGTATACCCGTGCTATACCCTGGATACCGAGAATGTTGAGGGGAGTGACAACAATCTGTATTCCTTGGGTGTGGAATAATAGAGCCATTCAAAATGTCAATGTTTTTCCGGAGCTGGTCGCAGATATTGAAACAACATCTTGGTCGCGTCGGAGGACAGTTTGTGTGACTTCGATCTGCCATAGGCATGGTCTCCGCCCAAAGACTTGAAGGGTTTTATTGCATATTTCGCTGACCGAGGGCACCACGTCTGGCATTTGCTAAGGGGGAAGCTTCGGTAATCAAATATTGTTGACAACCAACTCCGCGAGCGCAGCATACTACAGATCAACTATACGACTTATGATGTGCACACTCGATCAATCCTCGAATACATGCGGATGTCTTGATGCTCTCACATGAGAATAACTATGACCGACACCCTTACTCGTACGCTCGTGTCATCAAGATGTTTGGTATTGTGCTCAGGGTGCCACCAGAACATGGACGCACTGACACTCAGCTTGGGCCTGGTTTGGATGTGCTACGGATAATGACAATACAGACTTTAAGTATTTCTACGTGAATCAGTACGCATTCTCTGTATATTGATGTCACTCTGCTAATCTGTCTACCCAGTTTTTGTCGACCGCGACATGTTCATGCGCTTCCGAGGAGGTGGTGTTGGTCACAAAGTAACATGAGAGTGCGATAATTTTTTTGCGGAACGATGGTGCTGTGCCATCGCACGAGGAAGAAGATATTCAGCTTGACTCAGAAGAGTGGCAACAGGCTGACATGGTGGATGAAGCTGTGGACGATGACGATGGTGATGGGAGTGCACCTGAAGACCTGGGCGATGACGAGAATGAAATTTGGGTTGACGAGGAGCTAGATGATGGGTTTCTTGCACGTGAGGGATATGATGCTTTGTAAACTGGTAAAGATCTCTGCTTTTCCTTTCTTTTTTTTAATTGTCGCAAACATGCCTTTGACACAATGGCATTATCTCACCAGACTGGTTCCTGCCTCAGTTTGGTGCTTACCTTGTGCTACTAACTCTTAACGTCATTGCCAGCTTCATCACCATTTTTTCGGGCCGCCAATGTTGGTGTGTCTTCAGATGAACAATATTCGGTCCCTGACGAGGGACGAACTGTCTTGCAGTCGGGTGTTTGACGGCCTCATTAACATATGGAGATTTGGACTTAGGTGTAGGCTTGAGCTGCCTGAGAATAGTGGAATGCCGGTCAGTTGTACACCGGATTTTTGTTTGCACGACTGACATCAAACATAGGGTGATGTCTTACCAGTTCTTGCTGCGTCTATCGAGTCACCAGCAGTGAAATTACATTAGCTAGCCCCAGGTATATCAGGCACCGGCCGGACTGCAGGCACTAGATCATAGTCCATCATTTGAATTTCATTATTACGACTGACCAGTACTGACTTATCATATACTCATCAGCCTGAACATTCCCCGTCTATTGCATGATTCAGCCTGATCGCAAATATGAAGATGATCTGTGCTTGCCATATATGAGCTAGACAATCACGGGACCAGAATCCTAATCAGGTGTCGTCTGGTCTTCTGGTGATGACTTAGCAATTACTTAATTGGGTGGTGGACTTCGTAAATCTGGCTGCCGGACCTGTGACTTCACTTCAGCGGTCGAAGTTTGGTGTTTGAATTGTGGCAGGTGAGCTCTACTTGATTATCTACTACTGTACTAGGACGGCACCTCACCCTCGAAACGTCCGCTGGGTAGGAGCCTCCGTGGGTTTCTACATCACCTGTCTTGTTCATCATAAATGTCCGGGCTTTTTGGCGAAGCTCGGGAATAGCATTCTTGCTGGATAGGCAGATTATTGTCACGACCTTGGATCTTGGAACCAGGGAGAACTGACGAGTTCTGCCCACAATAACTAGTTCTCTGCCAACCCTGAGTTCTACCAAGTTCTGCCAGCAGTTTTTCCTGGAGTTCTGCCATCTGCCGGCACAATCAATTCTGCCCACAACACTAAGAATCGTACCCATGCATGACATAAAAGCCAGCTGCTGTCCCCTCTCGGTGAAATCATTCGAAAACCCCCTCAGAAAATTACCTCGCACAGAAAATGCGTTTCTACCTGCTCAACGTTGTTGCTGCTGCTGCTTTGACGACATCTATGGTTGTCAGTGCGTGTGGGGCACAGTATCAATATTGCGACAAAAATACACCTTGCTGCAAGAATATGAATTTGATTTGCTCCCAGGCTAGAGTGAGTATGAGCAAGTCATTGTACAATCAGGACTCAATTACATGACTCGCACAGTGCTGGGGTCACAACAGCGGCAAGTTGGAGCCTTTGTAGTCTATTGAGAATCGAGCACGGGGCCCGTGGCACATGGAGATAGTGAGTCATGTTTCTGCTTTCACTTTGGTATTATGTTTGATGGTGCAACACTTGGTGATGGGAGAGGTGAGAGATATTCGTATAGATCGAGAGCGGGGGTGGCCAATGCTTGAATGGCTATATGGAAGTACGGACTCGGATGTACATGGACTGAACCGTTTGTGTGTTCACACAATGATTCAACTCATACTATTGCAAAGTTCGTAGTAGCACTGCGAACTGATTGCTGTATATCGATAGACTGTTTGCTGCCAATCTATTGACATTTCTTGAGCTTCCGAAGTTGAAGTCTGGGACTGACGTTTCCCAGCGCCGCTACGATTAGAGTGAAGTATAATTTTGCCGATGCAGCTCTAGGGCTATATAGCTCCATGTAGTTTGAGGGGGGCCTTATGGCGCTACCGTGACGCTCTAGGATAAGCACGAAACGATTGAATACAGGAAGCTATTCCGTCACCAGGGTTGTGACAATCTTGATCTTGGAGGTATTCAAGTACTAGTACATAAAAGCCTGGGAGCCTGCAACAGGTATCAGTACTTAAGTGATATGAGATATCGACCGATTACATATCAAAAGCTATGACACGTTGGCGTTATGGCGAAAGTGAAAAGGGGGGTAATAATTTGAAAGATAAAGGGGCTAGCGTGGGTGCTTGAGAGCGACTCTTTTATTGAGCGACTGATGGGGTACGAGGGGCGGTTAACGGAGAAGAGGGACTTGGAAGAGCGTTTGGTTTATAGTCACTAATTTCTTCGACGCTGTTCCTTGTCTCCGAGGAAGTATAGGGTCATCGGTGTATACCATGAAATCGTATCGTGATTGAGGGAAAAGAACATGAATTATCGAGCGAGTAGATATCGAAAGTATCGGCGAGAATGAGCATCGACTTCTTAACTTGTTGCTGCGCTGGCAGGGTTGCATGTAGCGATGAGATGAGAAACCTGTGATTCGGGCGAGCGTTCTGTGGTTACGAAGAAGAGAATTGTCGGATGTCAATACCTGCAGAGCAGATTACGAACGAGCCCGATTCTGCAGGTTCTGCTGAATTTTTTGCGATCCTACCAAATGGATCAGAATCGTACGCATGCATGATATAAAAGCTGGCCGTTGTCCCCAAACCCCCTCAAAAGATTCCGTCTTTACCTCGCATAGAAAATGCGTTTCTGCCTTCTCAACGTTGTTTTTGCTGCTTTGACAGCATCTATGGTCGTCAGTGCATGTTCGAAACAGTATGAACCTTGCACATTAAACCCCGATTGCTGCCCTGACTTGTATTGTAGCTATGATATCGTGAGTCTGAGCAGGTCATTGTAATACAACCAGGACTCGATTACATGACTCCCCCAGTGCCAATAGTACACCTTGCCAGCCTTTAGAATTGAGCCGACAGCCCGAGGGGCAAATAAGTGCGTCATGTTTCTGCTTTCGCTTTGGTATTAAAATAACAACTTTTGGCAGAGAAATCCATTAACTCCGGCCCTAAGACGTTTAAAGTTTAAACGTTTAGTCATGTCTGTTTGTGGTATCTGGTTCGCACGGTTCTGTAGCCTGTTTGGTCTGCGCATATCGTCAAATTTCTGTCTGTTCAAAGTCTTCGATTATCTATATGCCTACGTCTCCTTACAAAATATTCGGATCTTTCTTTGACATCCCTGCTGTTATTCGCGTCGATGATGCGAGTTCTGATTCGACCGTGTCGTTGTCATTTCTGCATGATTGCAATGTCCCTCGAACTGTCATCAATCATAATGGGACAGGTCACAGCTGTGGAGTCCACTCTTGGACCGGTTCGCGTTCCTACCGTCAATGGTTGGTACAATTCACGGCAGACCTTTCAACCGGTCTGTTTGAGTGGATGCGACGTCGAGCTCGGCCGTGATTGGCTAGCGTTTGTGAATGCGAAGTTTGATGGGTCTCGATTCCAAAGGCCTTCAGAAACGGACGTTGCTCGACTTTCTGGCGGCCACAGTTGGAATTTTCAACCTGGTGGTACAATTTGAGACTGTAACACTAGTTCTCGCCGTCTGCAACGCTCATGTCTACAATATGGTGCAAAACGGCCAACCAACTAGAGTATGTACGAAAAGACATTGTCCGAGACGCACAGTTAACTTTGTATTAACAACAGTAATGTTGGCTTGCAAATGTCCAAACTCAAAGTCCGTCGTCTACAGCAAAACTTGTGTCCTGCATGCCGCAGTGTGTTGGTACTGAAAACATGACTCACCTGCTTGCTTTAGTGTAATTTGAACCGGCAGCTCGAGGGTCACATTGCGATAGTGAGTCATGTTTCTGCTTTTGCTTTGATATCATGGTTGATCATGCAACACCTGGTTCGGAGCCATGAGGGATTGGGATGAGAGACCTGTGATTCGTGCGAGCGTTCCGTGGTTGCGAAGAATAGGATTGTCGGACGTCGATGCCTGCAGACGGATCACGACTCAATGGTCGTAGCACGATTCTGCAGGTTCTGCTGAAATACCTGCAATCTGACAATAAGTCTACCAAATGGATCAGAATCGTACGCATGCATAATATAAAAGCTGGCCGTTGTCCCCCATCATTCGAAAACCCCCTCAAAAGATTCTATATTACCTCGCAAAGAAAATGCGTTTCTACGTTCTCAACGTTGTTTTCGCTGCTTTGACAGCATCTATGGTTGTCAGCGCATGTGGGACCATATATGAAATTTGCCAAACAAGCGCCGATTGCTGCACTAACTTGCATTGTGACTATATTATGGTGAGTATGAGCCATTGTACAACCAGGACTCAATTACATGACTCCCCAGTGCCAGCCTTAGTGCACCTTGCCACCCAGCCGACAGCCCGAGCGGCACATGGGACAGTGAGCCATATTTCTGCTTTCGCTTTGGTATCATGTTTGATGGTGCAAGTTGCAACACATAGTTCGGAGCCAATCTGTACAGTTGTTTTTGAACATACTGTTCGAGCAATGTGAACTTTGAAATGATTAATCGCACCTGTTCTTGCTCGTGGTTCACCAAGTTCAAAGTTCGGAAGGCTTTTAAAACGAGCAATGAATATCGGGAGGCCATATGAACTTGAAGTTAGGCTAACGCACTGGACAGAGCGTCCAAATGTCGGAAAAAGGTCAATTGCTACTATATTTAAACTCATCAGCCTTCCAGCCATCGCATCCGAGATGGCATGCCCAAATTTAACAGTTTATTTCTCTTAATTTTTTCTTGCCACCTCTGGAGAAACTCAGCAGCAAGCAAAGTGTTCCGTGATCTCGTGCAAGCAGGTGGGACAGGTGCCGTCAAGAGACTCCTGGAGAAGAAGTGCTTGCAAGCTCTGTGCGTCGAGACGTAGTGAAATGAAATATGATTGCATTGACACTACGTCCCTTATTTCAATGCTCTGATCTTTCAGTACGTACCGAACACACTGCACTAGATGTCACGGACTTTGAGTTTGTTTACTCTGGTCAAATATTTGCAAGTAACCCCCGCCACATTTATGTTGGTTGTTACTGATGCAAAGTTAATTATGCCATCTTCATTTCGCACTGATGATTTGTCCAAAAACAACTGTCTCTGAACTAGGTGTTGCACCATCAAACATAATACCAAAGTGAAAGCAGAAACATGACTCACTATCTCCATGTGCCACGGGCCCCGTGCTCGATTCTCAATAGACTACAAAGGCTCCAACTTGCCGCTGTTGTGACCCCAGCACTGTGCGAGTCATGTAATTGAGTCCTGATTGTACAATGACTTGCTCATACTCACTCTAGCCTGGGAGCAAATCAAATTCATATTCTTGCAGCAAGGTGTATTTTTGTCGCAATATTGATACTGTGCCCCACACGCACTGACAACCATAGATGTCGTCAAAGCAGCAGCAGCAGCAACAACGTTGAGCAGGTAGAAACGCATTTTCTGTGCGAGGTAATTTTCTGAGGGGGTTTTCGAATGATTTCACTGAGAGGGGACAGCAGCTGGCTTTTATGTCATGCATGGGTACGATTCTTAGTGTTGTGGGCAGAATTGATTGTGCCGGCAGATGGCAGAACTCCAGGAAAAACTGCTGGCAGAAGTCAGGGTTGGCAGAGAACTAGTTATTGTGGGCAGAACTCGTCAGTTCTCCCTGGTTCCAAAATACAAGGTCGTGATAATAATCTGCCTAGCCATATTATCCGCCACTGCAATTCTGCTACTCCCGATCTTCGCCGAGAGCAAGACAGGTGATGATGGCGATTCTCCCAGTGATTGATTTGGAAGAGTTGTCGTCAAAGTGCAATAATTTCAGCAGAAGTATTCGACCATCGAATCGTGATCTATCTGCAGGCATCGACGGACACCAGACAATTATCTTCTTCGCAACAACGGAACGCTTGCCCGAATCAGAGGACTCTCATCCCAATCCCCTTTCATTTGAACCTACAGTGACCCTGCCAGCGCAGCAACACGTTGAGAAGTCGATATGATTGCATTGATACTACGTCCGTTATTTCAATGCGCATCTGATCTTCTAGTACCAACACACCGTGACGCAGTGCGACACCATGCAGAACACAAGTTTTGCTATACAGACCGTAGACGACTGACTTTGAGTATAACTGATAATCATCAATGTAAGTCGTAAGTGGGCCGCCCAAGTGTATCCCACATATAGGTGATGTTGCTCGAGCAGCGGCCCTTTGAGTTATTTTTCTCCGAATTGTTGAGCTAGAAGCATGTCGACATTGCATACTAGCGCTGGCATCAACTTGGGGAAATCTGCTTATATAATGCATTACATTTTGTTGGCGGGCGACCCGGATTATACATACCATGGCGAAGGGATCTCAGTTATCTCAGCTCAAATCAGCGTTATCTCAAGCGGGGATCAGCAAGGCCCCACAAAATGGAAAGAAGCGCAAGCGTTCAGCCTCTATTGACCAGGATAAAATCAAGAAGGCAGCCAAGCTTCAGGAGATACACAAAAAGCTAAATCCCTTCGACACCAAGGTCACCAAGTGCAAACATGATGTCGGCGGACGCAAGATCAAAGGGTCTAAAGGACAGCCTGCACAGAGCAAACAAGCAGGTATTCAGCAGGTGTGCATATTTTACTTTTCAGGGATATCGACAGGCCTCCTACATTGCCTACAACAGCGCGAGAAGACTCTGTTGAAAGAGTTCCAGAACAGAGGACATGTGGGCGGAGTTGTAGATAGGCGCTTTGGTGAAAACGACCCTTCCATGTCTCTTGAGGACCGTATGCTGGAGCGTTTCACGAAAGAAAGGCAGAGAGCTTCTAAAGGAACCATATTCAATCTCGAGGGCGAAGAACAGCTCACGCATTATGGTCAAAGCCTCTCGAATCTAGATGATTTCGATGACGTTGGTTTACCTATAGATGAAGACGAAGATGATGATCAAGGTGAGCATTACTATGTTTTGCATCGAGTTCATTTCATTCAACTAGTTCAAGGTCAACTTGATCGTGACATCGTTGGGAGGACACACTTTGGCGGGTTTGGCGACAAGGATGAGGAAAAATCAGACCAGAACGTGCGCCTCTCCTAGCTTAGAGAGAAACTTTGTGCTCATACTTTTCTACATTCAGTCCGACCGGAAGAAATCAAAAGCAGAAGTCATGACAGAACTCATCGCCAAAAGTAAAGAGCATAAGGTAACATATGTATGATATTTCCTACTGGGGTCTTTCTAATTTAGGTTCAGGCCCGCCGTCAGCTGGAAAAAGTACAAGAGGAGAGTATGCGGCATCAACTCGATGAAGACTTTGATTCTTTGAGAAGTCTACTCTTCGCGCCTGACGCACAGATGACCAACAACAACGTGGCTTCTCTGGGTAGTTCTGGAAACCAGCCTGACATTCCCTCCGTAAACATAGATGAGCAAATGGACTACGACAGACAAGTTCGCGAACTCGCGTTTGATCAACGCGCAAAGCCTAAAGATCGAACAAAAACTGAAGATGAGCTTGCGCTTGAGGAGAAGGAGGCTCTAGAGAAAGCAGAAAGGCAGCGAAAGAGGAGAATGCTTGGAGAAGATGGAGAAGATAGTGATGACGGCGGAAAAAATCACGGAAAACGGAAGAGGGAACGCGGGGGCGACGACCTCGAGGACGATTTTGTAGGGGACGAATCGTGGGGAGGTATTGGGTCAGGATTAGGTGAAGTTGGTATCAACGACCAGGGGCTTGCGGAAGATAACAGCGAGGAGGACGAAGATGAGGATGAAGATATGGGTGAGGATGAGGAGACCGACGGCGAAGATGAGAACAGTGAGGAGGGAGATCAACCCAGCTCTTGCAGTGAAGCAGGCAGTGCCTCTGAAAACGAGTTCGACGAAATCACAACCAACCAGAAGTCAGCAAAACTCAAGCCACCAGGTGTTCGATATGACCTTCCCTTCACTTTCCCTTGCCCTGAATCACACGAAGAGTTTCTGGAGATCATCGAAGAAGTGGATGACACAGACGTGCCTATCGTTGTTCAGCGTATACGCACGTTGCATCATCCTAGCCTTTCCCCAGAAAATAAAGCGAAGCTTCAGGTAATGCCTTATTTTGGTAGTTGTGAACTCGATTGACGTTCCCCGTAGAACTTGACATCGGTCCTTGTTGATCACGTTCTCTATATCACATCTCCCCCTGCCCCACGATTCATGCTCTTGAACTCTATTGTTCCCCACCTCTTTGCACTGTGCCGCTCATACCCTATTGAATCTGCGGGAATTTTCGTGGAGAAACTCTCTTTGATGCACAAAAATTTGGAGCGGGGATTATCGCGAGGAGCTCTTGAACTAGGTGCAAGAACATGGCCCGGACCAGCTGAATTGTCCCTCTTGCGCACTATTGGAATCATATGGTCTAGTAGTGATATGAGCCATCCCGTCATTTCACCTGCAAGGCTTCTCATGGGTGCTTACTTGGGGCTGTGTCGTGTTCGGTCACTAACGGACATAACGAGTGGACTCTTCTTATCTTCTATCCTCCTTCAGTACGAGGAATTGTCCAAACGCCTGGTCCCAGAAGCTATCAACTTTTCTATCAACGCGGTCTTGCACCTAGCTCCGAGCTCTCTCAAAAATGTTGCATCAATACCCGGCTCATTTCCTTCCCCCGACTTCCATTCAGATCTCTGTGCACCCCTTGCGATCGATGTCAAGAAGTCCAAGCATCTCGACTTCCGTACCCCAAACCTACATCGGCTCCTGACTGAGGACCATCATCAAGAGCAAGATAAACTTAATCTATTAGGTCTCGCTTTTCGCCTCCTGGATCGGTTTTCAGAAATGTACAAGAGCCTCGACGGTTTTATTGAGCTCTATCAACCAGTTCTAGATATCCTGACGAAACTCGACATCACAAAATTCTCGGAGGGCGTTCGAGTGGGTCAATATCATGATTGTGCGAAGAGTTGATTAACCATAATTTTAGACGCAAGGCTCCTCTTTACAAGACAAGCTCACCAGGTTATTGAAGTTCGCTCGTCAAGCTCGCAAACCTCTTCTACTTCAGGCCCACAAGCCAATTCCTATCCCAACATATATACCCAAGTTTGAGTCAAGGTCTTCCTCTTACCTGCGGCGGCACGATCCAGATCATGAACGTAACGAGGCCTCGAAGCTTCGCTACCAACTCAAGCAGGAGAAGAAGGGAGCCATTCGTGAGCTCAGAAAGGATGCGAAGTTCTTGGCAGCTGTAGAGCACAAACAGCAGACTGAAAAGGACCGCGCTTACAAGGACCGCATGAATAAGGCGTTTTCATCGTTGGAAAGCGAGAGAGCTGAACAAAAGGCCATGGATAGAGTGAAGGAGAAAGAAAAGCGTCGATCTGGACGGAAGTAGATTATTTGAAGTCTCTAATTAGTAAAGGTAAACACTGACTACTGTAGCGGTTGATTGCTAGCAGTAGTACTAAAAAAGACTATCATAACCAGAGGTTTAGCTGTCAGTCTCCGGTGATATCTCATGTCTTGCATGTTCAAGAACGCAAGCTCTAAATCTGATATATAATATTATTGGACGCAAGTAAATCGAGCATTAATGGGGTAGTGGTAACCTGGGTCGTTGCCATCGACCCGCCGGGGGTTCGATTCCCCCTTAATGCATTTGTGTGATGTGTGATTCGTTTTCTGCAAATACACATTTTTTGTCCCTTACAGTTGCAGGTACTCAGCACTACGGGACTGAACGAGTAGAACAACGCCCCAGTGCGGTGAAACAAAAATAAAGAGCGCAATTCAACTGGAAAAGTGTTATTCTATGTGTAGCTGTTAGTTTTCGTGATGGTACGGAAGAAACCAGATCAATATCTGATATACAAATAGTCGCAATAGTGGCCACGATATTCTACATGCATGCGTGGCTATTTGGGCTCAACCCAAAGGGTTTTGCGACCCGAACCATCGTTTCGAACCTGTGAAGAAAATCCAGGATGAGTCGTGAGGGCAAGTGGGCCCAGCAGCTCACAGAAAATTCTGTCAGTGTCAAAAATGATGCACTGAATGAATTTATGAATTTTACCGGAAACGTCCAGTAAAGTAACACAAGGCTGGCTGCTAAAAGAGAGCGGAGAGTGGGTGCGACGAAACGAGAGAGTAGAGAACTTGCAAGCACCACGTAGTGGTACGAAGCAAGAAAGGTGGGACACACGAAAGGCTGTACGGCCAGAGACCTCATTCTTTGTTCGTTTTCGTGCCTCGAACTCACGTAGAATAGAATCTATAGTTTGGCTGTCAGGTTTTCTACCCTCCGATCGTAGCATATTCATTCCATGGATCCTACTGACTCCGCATCAATAAATTGAATAAATCATGATCATGAATGAACCCAAAGTTCGGCGACTACATCTAACTCTTTCATTGTCCTTGCTTCCATCGCGCCGGACCCTAAGCGATGAGTAGCCGCCTGATCTGTATCAACATCTACAACCTCATCCCTAACCAGTAGGATGCGCAGGCCGCCTGCTCGCACAAATCCTGTCTGCACAGGTAGGAAGGTAAGTTCAAACTCTTGACTACCCTCCGCCTTCTCCGCATCATCATCCGATGAGTTCTCATGATGACTGGCGTGACTGGGATAAGTCAGCGTAATCGGGTTCAGGAACTGTGTGGACGACCCAACAAATACGCAGCCTTTCAGCTTTGCGCGTTTTTCCTCGTCAGCGAACTCGAAGTAAGGGGGTGGTAATGTGGGTCCTCCGCGTGCAAGCATCTTTTCTGGTGAGATAACTAAGGGGCTCTCGCTTGCCGTGTTGGAGGCATTGTGGACAGGCGTGACAGGCGTTGACGTCACAGAAGTGAGGCCGAGGGAAGAGAACCGTGAGCTGATGGTCTCGGTGGCCTGGAAGGGTTCAGGGTATTCAGCCACGGTAGCACGCGGATATTGAAGATGTTGTACAGCAAGAGTGATGACCCTTTGTTTCCCTTTGGCCTTTGGTAGAGTAGCAGAAACGGTGGCAGTCAAAGCGATCTTGAAAGGCCGCTCAACAGCGATGGATTCCCTGGCAATATGATTTATGATAACATCTACCTCAACGCCCAATACATGAGCAGGCACCATTGGTGCTGGTTGTTGTTGATTTGGCGCGATAGGCATAATAGATATAGATCCAGCTGCTGATGATTGTGGGTGCGAAGGGCCGGACATTTGGCGCGTGCGGAAGGGTGAGCCTGGTCTGTATGGAACCGGGGTTGGGGAACTAGGTCGAGAAGGGGGAAGTTGTGGAGATCGTGGTCGGGCGGGCGAGGATGGCGCACTTGGCACGGTGCGCTGAAGATAAGGTGGAAGCGCTGAAACAGGGTGCTGGAGTGGGGGAGCTGGTGCTGGAGTTGAATTTGGTGCTGGAGGGGGGCTAGGAAATCGACGAGATAACATCTATGTGTCAAAAGTAAGTGATGAAGCCATTCTTTTGGACAGTGATCTCACCGAAGTTAATAAACGGCCAGGTTCGCCGAACTGAGAACGCCATGAGATATCAAGTCTGCCAAGAGGAATGACGCTGCCTGCTGTATGAACGACAGGAAACGAGAAAGTCGATGTTGGTGTCAGTATATAGATATACTGTCGTACGGTTTGTGGTTGCATGAGAGCCATCGGACCAGAGAATAATCTCCGATCCTTATCATCGTCTGTTGTGTTTGCATCGACAACGCTCCATCCCTCCACACATTCAAACTCCATGCGTTCGAACCACATTGCATCTTGTGTTAAGTTCTGAATGTGGACCTCAAGAAACACTTTCTCGCGCTCTGACGAAGTCATCAACGCCGATGGAGACCGAGGCGTGTGTACCTTTGTCTTTACAGAAAGAGGGTTGGTGACCTAAGGCGTTTTCAGTTGAAATGTTCAAATCACTAGAAGTCCTACTGGAAGTGATACATACAGCAAACTTGTAAAACTTGCGGAAGGTTGCTTCATTTGAGGGATCACTAGCACCAGAGGAATGTCGGTATGACGGAGGCAGGTGGTACGAGACGATACAAGCTAGAACATGGTGGCCTAACTCCTTCACCTCGTGATGGGCCACATATTCCAGCGAATCTCCTATTGCGAGCTTGAAACTTGGGCCACCAAGTTCAGCCAACAGTATCTTGGAATTTGCTGTCTGAATCTCAATGCGGACACTAACGCCCTCGATGTCGATATTAGTCTCATTGTTGATGCATATGCAACTGGAAAATGTTTCGCCTAACTGAATGGCTCCGAATGAGGGTGGAAGCGTAAGGAACTCGGATGCTTGAGTGAGATCCCGCAGGGTCTTGGGGTGGCCTGGGAGGGGTGTCTTTCCTTGCAGAGAGAGAATGGAGGCAGTAGAGTGTGCTGAGAATGAAGGAGAGCTGGAATAAAAGGGCTGCCATGCGCTAGCTAGCGATGGTCTCTGTCATTAAGCAGCAGCATTGATCACCACGTCGCGCGCTGAAAGATTGTCTACCCACAGATACCCGCATCACTTTCAGTGATAGAAGATGTCCTTGTGCATCCATGTTCGCTACGGTACTTGGCCGTATATGAGCTGTGGTGGGCCAGGTCTAGTAGTACTTAAGCGTCTACAGTCTGAATACCGTCTACTGAGTGTTGTTTGTTCATATTAGAATTCAATTGAGACTCGTTTTGGAGGTCAACAGGAAACAATCGATTCTGGGAGTCAGTCTGACGCCGACAAGGTGTAGGATAGCAGTAAAGCATGCACGTGGTCAGGTCTACAGTAATGTCATGCATGGACCATCAGGTAATTATAGTGCAAGACAAACGAATGATAAAAAAACGTATAAAGGATCAAAGTTCTTGCTGCACAATTTTTTCAGCCAATGCCTTGACGTTGTCGGCATCGGAGCCCAGCCTGGTTGAGCCCACGGCCGCATCTACCATCTGTTGTCCGATGCCAGGAGGTGCCCTCTTCCATTGAGTCACTCTCAACCCAACTCCAGGCATCGCATGTCGAGCGATATACCGCACCCAACGGTCGACGACCTCGGGGTCTGCATCCCATGCTTTAATTGCACGTTTATGCACCTTCCGCTCGAAGTTCTCCTGACTCTTCTTGTGCACGAACGGACCGCGAGGTACAGTCCATAGCGAGCGTTGTGTTGGCAAGTACACCGGGCGTGAAATTGGGATGCCTAATGCTGCAGCTGCATGTCCTACAAAATGCATGTACAGTTCAAGGAATTGTGGGTGATACGCGCGGAACTGCAGTTGGGCGACTGGAACTGAATGAGTGCGAGGATGGTATGATGGGGGGTAGAGGCTGCGTCCATGAATAATCATGGAAGAAAACTCTTCTTCTGTCAATGGTGCAGGAGCCTCTGATTCCAGCTGTCGAGCAGGCAACGGTGTGGCACTACATAAATGCTGATATCATTCAGCTGCAAGACATACAATAAGCAAGCACGTACACTGTGTGGCTACTGCCGCCATTGAACCGCACAAATCTGGCTATAGTTGGCAGAGCCAGACAAGATCGTCGAGCAAACATGACTTCAAGTTCGCGAATCGCGACTGGTATAGTCAAAATATCTAACCCGGCGAATGCCGGATCGTGCCAAATCCTCCAATTTGAGCTTGGACAAGTCTCAACAATAGACCGCTATGTCTTCCCATGACAGTGACCCATTCTATCTCAGGCGCGTGTGCTGCTAATTCATGAAATAATTGGGCTGACAAGCATTTTCAGATACTAGTAAATATTGATGAATCCCGTTTTGTTATGTCGCTAAGTATTCATGCAGCACTGGCCATTCAGGAAAACACGGCCACGAATTCTTGGAGTTTGAGTACTCCCATGGTCGTCTTCGATATGCCAACAACTCGAATTATAGGAACGACAGCTTGATCAGGAAAGAAAGTCGGTGGTCCATCCTGCGTCTCGCTCGAGTGCTGATCCAGTTCTTAGTGTGGGTTGGGCCGTTAGTGGTCAAGGAGCTCAAGCGCATTGTGGAATCGAGTGAAATCACAAAGTAATCACACTCTGCGCCCCATTTTTGACCTGCTGACTGGCTATCCAGGGAAGATGATACGAATTGGCCGAAAAAAAACATCGTTGGAAAGCAAGAACTCGAGATACGTGTAGGCAATGACCACATTGCCTTCGAGGTACGTGACCAGCATCACTTTTGTAAATGTGATCTTATAAACCATTGATCACATTTAGACTGCAAAAATTGGATCACTTGTTGACATCCAGGACAGCGAAGATCCTGAAGGACTTCGTGTATTTTACTACCTGGTACAAGACTTGAAGGTGTGTTTTCGCCTACTTTCCATCACATTATCTTACAGCCATTTGTAGTGTTTGATATTCTCCCTCATTTCTCTTCACTTCAAGATCAAGCCTATCTAGCTATATTCGTATCTCTTGGGCCAGGTCCAAATAATGCACCATCATCACCATGAATATTACCTTTGTATCGCCCTAAATTTCAGGCAACGCTGTTTCAATCACTTTACGAACCTATTCTCGATGAACGGTCCTGTGTCCGGAACTGGATAGCACTGATCAACTGTATCTAGGCTCGATGCGCCAGAACCACTAGACCTCTATGCTTTGTTTCTCTTGGCCGTTGTATTGATGCTTACAACTGGTGGCGAGTTACAGGTTAGTTCTCCACCTTAAACACTCGATGGGTCATGTAGGAAGGTATTTATGGCATCATCAGTTACACATCTTCCGCTATCTTCTGCATAAATCTCTTTCGAATGGTAGTATAGTGCTGCATCTCTATGGTACTAACGCTAGGGCGTGCTTCACGCATCCTTGGGAATATACAGAGGCTAGCAATGAATCGATCGTTGTCACCTCTCCCATGTTGCATCCCCTCCTATCGTTCAAGGGACTCGACTGCTTAGATCTCACGGATATATGCACCTCGCGTATTGCTGATACTTTCGCAACAAACATGGCCCTGTCTTGTCCACACCTAAGGCAACTCTACTTGGGTAATCGAGGCTGCTGGCCCATTGGTCCGTTTCCGACCTCTAATGGAGTGGCATCTCTCTTTAGACACGCCAGCTGTCCAGTCTATGAATTTCTTCAATGCCACTTACATAAATCTTACCCCAGTTGATGCTGTCGATGCAAATATACGTCGGCTGGATTGTCATGCTCAACGCAAGATACATTAATCATCGCATTCTGAATAGTTCATCTCAACGAATGAAGGGAAAGTACATGTGTGGTTCAAGTCATACACCTCGAGTCGAAAGCAAAGCTGGAAGTACGGGTGGTTAAGAACAAAGCAATTAAATCTTGATTCTGTGAGTCACTATTCAACATGCGCATGCTTCGTAGTCGCGGAGGTATCAGGGTCTACACTAAACTAGGAGAACGTCAACTCCAGTGGGCATCGGGTGCAATTGCACGGTCCACCTCTTTAGTTCTTTGCTCTCTTTTCATTTACTACTACTATGGCGACGTCCGCTTCACTTCACGAAGTTGTTGGTCTTCGAAATGGAAGTCAGATTGACAGAAAGAACGTTTGGCGATACGACGGACTCCAGAACTTGGAGACATTAAATTCGGTGCGAACGCTGCTTCAGCTGAAGATGGCATCTATCTATTGGATGGCGTACAACTACTGGTCTGAGGCAAATCTGCTCATGCTAATGATGACAGTTCTGAAGGAGTTCGATTTTAGCGCCATTAGGGGAATTCACAGTTGCGTTGGTAAGGCGTTTTTCGTCCGTTGTTCAGAAAAGCTTTGAGGTCTGAAAAACACTGAAAAACGTTGGTCCACTGTGATAACACCGTTGTTCGCGCGCTGGTCAGCAAATTTGTCGCATCTTTTGAACGGGTTGCCGAGTCTGCCGACACGGCAACAAACATTATATAATCCATCCGATAACAGTGAGATTGAGTTGGATTTACTGTCATGCCTCGCAACACACCACGAGGACAAGCTATTCAGGCTGTATATGATGCTTAACTTATCACCCAAACTCAGTCTATGATCAACAACGAGCTTTATGACTCATCCAATGGATCTAATTCTGATCACTCATCATCTGACCTCGAGATCACAAATGCCACTGGTAAGGTATTCCTGCAGCTAGCCAGTGACTTAGATATCTGACAGATCGGGTCCATATCAATAAAAGCGGTCAAGATCTTACTCTCCTCCTCACTGATTGGAAAATCAATCACCCCGAAATCTTCCGCTCATATGTCCGAATGTCTCCCGAGTCTTTCAATGCACTCCTAGCTTCCTGTGCCCCGATTGAGTGCGGATGGGCGCCATAGTAACCTTGAAGCGCGTCACTGCGGCGGCAGCACTCGACTAGAACGAGCGGATTGAGTGGGATTCAGACTCCGACGGAGCATGCCGAAGTTGCATTTTCTAAACCGTTGGTCACTTCGGTGACCAACACAGGTGAACAACAAAGTGACAAATTCGGCGAAACACGCCTTACCAACGCAACTGTGAATTCCCCTATTCAACGAAACATTACGGTAGAAGGTCGGAAATGCGCGCGTGCGCGTGATCTAATCTTTGTTGTCGCGCGTGGGCAAGTCCCAATTTCTAGCACGCCACGTTATCCCGCATCATCTCTTTCTATCGCCGCCATCATGCTTCCAACTGGAGTGTCTGGTACCCTATAAGTATCTCAAGTGATGGATTTGCCCTACTGGCCTGCACTAACATGTTTATGAGAACACTCGTTCAAGCTGGTGTTACGCTATCACTACTAGCAGCTAGCGTATTCATGACTCTCGCCGTTTCTGTTGCAGAGGACCACCTTGATACTACGGAAGCAGTGCATGTTGAGATTCAATCCAAGGTTCACAATGCAACTGGCATTCGTTATGTCAAGAACTCAGGAATCTGTGAAACAACTCCAAATGTTACCCAAATTTCTGGTTACATCAACGTTGGAACAAACATGTCCATGGTATATTTCTGTTCCCTATCCTCCAGGTGTAAATTGATAGGAGACACAGTGGTTCTGGTTCTTTGAGTCTAGAAACTCACCGGAGACAGCTCCGTTCACTTTATGGTAGGTTGCCGGGAGGCTGGGTCACACAAATAATCTGAGTTGAGTCGCACCTCTTGACTGCTTTCGCAGGTTGAATGGCGGCCCTGGATGTTCTTCTATGGTCGGATTGTTCCAAGGTTGATTGGTTTAATCGCCTTCGAATTTACTTCTAATTTTCACAGAGAACGGGCCATGCTTGGTGAATGCCGACCGTAATTCCACCATTCTTAACCCCTACAGGTATGTCATGATCATCGCTTTTTTTATATGCTAATATGACATGCGTTCCTACAGCTGGAATGGTCTCAGCAACAGTATGTAGCACGTAGCCCTCCCATTTCGTTGCCAGTGTTGACTTCCTCAACCAGTGATCTACATTGACCAGCCAATTGGAACAGGGTTATCTTACGGTACTGATACGGTAAACAGCACAGAAGCCGCTGCGCCCTTCGTGTGGACTGCATTTCAGGTTTTGTTTGAAAGCCAGTTATTTTCGAAGTACGCTAGTCGAGAGTCAGTCGCTTAACTCATCTATCACGGACGATTACTTATGCCAGGCTCAGGTTCATCTTTGCAACAGAGAGCTATGGTGGTCACTACGGACCCGGCTTTGTGACCTACTTCGAAGAGCAAAACGCCTTAATTGCTAACGGGAAGATTGATGCTGTTCCAATTGCTGTCAGCGCCCTGATGATTAACAAGTAAGTCGCTTTCTTGATCGACTAGTAACCTGTTGAATGAGCATTCACAGTGGCTGGTATGATCCGCTCATTCAGAACATCGCATACCTAAATTATGCGACTTATGCTCCTGGCTATGGACAGCTCCAGCCAGATGTTGTACTCAAGAACATTTCGAATTCCCTCTACGGTCCTGGTGGTTGCGTAGCGCAAGAGAATGCCTGCTACGCTGCTGGAACTTCTACCCACTCAAATAAGATTTGCCGTGACGCCGATAATTACTGTGTGAGTAACTCATCAATACTGCATGCATGGACGTCGCCGAACTCTTTCAGAACGACAATGTCTTCACCCCTGCTGTGGGCGATTACGACCCCGATGATATCCGTCAAAATTCATCTGCTTTATTTCCCCCTGAATACTATGTGTATTATCTGCGCAGAGAGGATGTCATGAAGAAGATCGGTGCTCAGGTCAAGTACGAGGAATGCCCGGACGCACCCTATGACAAATTTGCAAAGACAGGCGACGTATGTCTTTGTCTAGCTTCTTTCCTCCTCGAGTACTAAATTTAGCTTCCTGCTATGTAAAGTTTGCTAGAACATGGCTACCTCAGTTGTCGGCACTTGCCAACTCTAGGATGAAAATTTTGATTTGGGTGCGTGCTTAGTTACTACTTCATTGTTTACTAATTTACCAGGGACGAACAGGCTGGAGATGCTGATATGAAGTCCGTTCTCGTGTTGTAATGACCTTTCAGATCCTGACGCTTCTCATTGACTTTAGTTGTAACTGGCTTGGAGTAAGCTGTCGCGTATTCTGCCACCAACGTTGCTGAAGTATTCTGGCTAATAGGGCCATGTGTCAGTTCTAGCAATGGATTGGTATGGCAACGAGACGCTCCATAATACCCCATTCACCAATATGACGATCAACGGCACGCCTATTGCGGCCGTGCAGAACGTCGACAACTTCTCCTTTGCGTGAGTTTTTTTTCCCTTAGCAGCTTGTTAATGAAAGATACACCTACACCTCATCATTTTACGTTTTAGACGCGTGTACGGTGCTGGACACGAAATCGTTAGTTAACTCTCCTGGGGGTGATGATATCTACTGATGCCTGTTATGTCATTAGCCTTCCTTCCAGCCCCAAGCAGCTTTGGAGATTTTCTCGCAGGTTGTTCGTAAGGAGCAACTTCACTCCGTCTGAAGAGTGATTTTGGAAGCGTACACCGTGATTCTGGTTAGACATACTTGACATGTTTGCAAAAAGCCAAACTTCGAAATCTACATATCCATACTGCCAGGAGCACGTACCTCACGTACCACTACTATCGGTGAACACAACTTCGGTCAACCATTAGGCGCAGTCTGGACAACGAATAATTGGGAATTCAAAATTCTGAATCAAGTCACATGATGGTCTGGGAGATGCCGGATCACAGCGCACCTTGCTGGTGTACTAGCTAGTATACTGTATACATATTACATGGATGATCTTGATGATACTGTTGACCTTGAGGCCCATCGCCAAATCGACCACTATCGACATCGTTGGACCGGGATTCTTCTAGCCATGTTAATCCAAATTATGCATACCTACCAGCTTCTATTCTTAAATTCAACAGAACGCATCCCATATCATACATCCATCCTCACTGGTGAGGCATGGGTGTATGAGCTCATTCATGGACATCCTGACAGGATCCGGCACAATCTCGGTGTCGACTGTGACATTTTCACTGCACTGTTGCATGTTCTCCATCGTAACGGTTTTAACCCATCTCGCAATCGTATCAGTGGAAGAGCAACTTGGTATTTTTTTATATACATGTGTCACTGGGCTGTCATCCCGCCTCGTTGGAGAGCGCTTTCAGCGTTCCCCTGACACCATCACAAGGTACAGTGCCAGTAGTCTCAATATTATTTGTGTGACTCATTAGATCTACTATTTCAAAGATATTTCAAACACATGCTTTTCTTCTTATCAAATCCGTTCTATGCCTCCCAAATCACGTTTCCGACACACACGACTCCCATCTCTGATAAAATCCTCAACAATCCTCGATTTTGATTCTTCAATCAGTGTATTGGTGCAGTAGATGGTACACATATCCAGGCCTTCGTACCCCCAGAGGAACACTTCCACATGCGTAATCGCAAGGGCGTTTTGTCCCAAAATTGCTTGTTCATTTGTAACTTCAACTTTCATTTCCTTCATTCGCTCTGTGGGTGGGATGGATCTATGTCTGATGTGGCTCTGTGGACAGATGCCCACACAAATGACTTGTGAATCCCTGAAGGACGATATTTTCTTGCAGATGCTGGTTTCGGCACCTCTGATGCCCTCCTTGTTCCATACCGGGGCGTACACTATCATCTGAAAGAGTGGTGACAGGCCAATGTCAAGTAGGTCACCATTATTATTTCGAGTTCATGTTGGGCTAACTTTTACACAGGCCGAGGAATGCACAAGAACTATTCAACCACTGTCATTCTGCGCTGCGCAATGTCATCAAACACATCTTCGGTGTTCTGAAATGTCAATGGGGTATCTTACGACACATCCCTGAATACAACATGGACATCCAAGCCCGGGTCCCTGCAGCGTTATGCACACTGCATAATTTCATTCAGAAGCATCACCCTGATGCTTTTGACCTTGACCTTGAATTGGATGGAAACCTTCTTGAGTTCAATATCGACGTTGCATTGGGTGAACTTGGTGATGGACCGGCTGATGTGACAGAACACAGAAGAGCAGATCAGAGACGAGACAGACTTGCAAGGGAAATGTGGGAAGACTATCTTGATGAGCATAGGTGACGAGGGCTTCCATTGCCAGGTACAATGTAGCCTACATACTACATAGTATAGTACACTTCCAAACCTACGCCATTGACATTGTTAGATCATTGTTGGGACTACTGTCAGACTTGAGCTTGCGCAGAGTTTTCTCCAACCAGGCAGCTTGAGTTGTCTTTGGAAAGTTAGAAAAAATCACAGCCTGCGCCTTCTCCCTAGCAAAGTAGTCCACAATCTCAAGCCGATCATCCTCTGTAAGAGTCTTGTGCTCTGACAGCAAGACAATAGCATGAGCAAGGGGGTCATTGGGTGTGACAACAGGCTGAGGCCTGCTGGGGGAAGTTACAAGAAACTCTTTGATATAATCAGCGAGAACCTTCATTGCGTAAGTTACATAGAAGTTATCAAAATAACCAGCGGGCACCTTCATTGTTTTAGTCCCATCCTTCTGCACTTGGGCAGTCACAGATAGTGACCGAGTACGTTTTTGGGCACTAAAGCTCGACTCAGATCCAACCATTGAAGGGTTGCTGGCTCTGCGCTTTGCACTGCGGCTAACACTTGTCAACACAGATGAGGGAGCCGAGACACTAGTGGCATCAGGAGAAGCAAGATAACTAGATGGAGTAGATGGCATTATTGATGAGGGATCATTGAAAGTGCATGATGGCCCAGGAGTGTTGGGAACCAGACCCTGTGTGGGAGGAGCCATATTGCTGTCACTAGTAGACACCAATGATCCTATGGGAGCAACAGATGGGGCCAGGGGTTCTCAAAAATCATGTGAGCCTTTTGTGATCTTTGGCATCATCTGCTCAATAACATTGAAGTGTTTGAAACCTTTGTTTTTAAAAGGTTTTGCTGCAGGGCGCCACTGAAAATAATAGTGTTTAGTAGCACTCATGGCCAGTCATTAGTATATGTACCTTGATGTACTGATTCTAGACATCATCATCCTTTGTAACAATTCCCACTCCATACTCATCACTCCACGTAAATCCTGATGTGTTTTTGATATCTAAAACAGCATTATACCCTGATTTGAGCTACAAGGTATTGAATCTATGTGACATAATCATGTGACTGATAACATACCGATTGCCACTTAGTCTTACAAACACTAGCTGTCTTCTCAGCACCACTTGCATTTGGGAATCTCTCCTTCAGTAAGTTTGCAGCTGCAGTAAGTGTCAGAGTCTTGAAATTTCCATCGCCACTTGCAGAAAACTGAGACAATAGAAAGTCGACAAAAACAGCTTCTTCATCTGATGTCCAGGAGGCAGCAGGCTTTCTTTTGCCCTTCTTCAATTCCACTTGGTCAATGGTACCACGAGAACAAAGAGAATGAGTAGATTTGTCACTGTTGATCGATTCACTGGATGACATGGCGGTAGGTAAGCAAGGTGCGCTGACAGCACTGCATAATCTGCGATGATGTGATCCGGCATCTCCCAGACCATCATGTGACTTGATTCAGAATTTTGAATTTGCAATTATTCGTTGTCCAGCTTCGACTTGACTCTAGAGACGGTGACACAATCTATTAGGTTGGGCTGGGCCGAGCGTTAGCTCGGGAAGGATGCAAGCAGGTGGAGCCGCTGGGAGGGCAGGACACTGCTTACAGATTTGATTGTGTCAATCGACTCATGAGTATCTCTGGAACGGTAAAAATTCGAATTGACAGATAAGATTATAAGGCATGTGGCTAATTAAAATGCTAGAAGTAATACTGCTTAGCGACGACTTAAAAGGGAGAGGTGGGTGGGTATAACAAAATTTTATTGAGCGAGTGAGGAGTGTGATGGATGATGAACTCGGTGTCATGGTGGAGAAGAAGAAAATTGAATAGTGGAAGTGAGCAACGCGGCCACTCAGCTGGATGCATGGTGCCGAGGTATTTCAGCAGGCTTCATTACCTGGCACCTGGACATTCCAGCTTCGACTTGACTCTAGAGATGGTGACATGATCTATTAGGTTGGGCTGGGCCGAGCATTAGCTCAGGAAGGACGCAAGCAGGTGGAGCCACTCACCCAACAAGCCAGAACAATCCGTGGCTCAAAGCTGCTTAGCCCAATCAGAATGTGGAGGCGACGGTTATAGAGCAGTCACATTAGCCAGGTGCTGGGAGGATATCTGCTCAAAAGCACGAATGTAAGTCTCATATGCTAATGATTTCCAATGGCCGGCGATTCAGATTATTTCGGGGCTGATCTTTTTGGCCAAATAGAATGACACGCTGCCTATTCAAAATGAGTGGCCAAACATCAGGGAAAACCTCCCATGCCAACTTAGGTATACAATAGACAAAATATCACAAATTAGAGCTAGATATACATAAACTCAATATTGTTCATAATACACAATGTAATTATTGCAAAGTTATAGAGTACTACCTAAGGGTCACAAAATTATGCCTATCTATGTAACAATTAACCAAAAATGTATCACATTCCTCAAGAACATTGTTACTCTTCCAGTCACAAGACGTGCAGGTATGGAGATTCGAGAAATTTGACACCTGAATCCTACTGAGTGATGAATCAATCAATGTGAGTATGCAATTTTAAAATATCTCTCAAGTCCAACATTTGTGTGTATTTGGTTGTATCATGTGACTTGTTTGTTGAATGAAATATCTCAAGTCCAACATTTGTGTGTATTTGGTTGTATCATGTGACTTGTTTGTTGAGCAAATTGCCAGTGGCACCATGCCACATCTTCTTTTTCTTCTTTGACTCTCACTCTTGTCTTTCTCCCTGGTGTTCGTGCACTACATACAATTAAGGTGTGCAATGTTTTTTTATTCTAATCTTGTTCTTTATATTTACACAAAACTATTCTAGGAGACTTATAGGATTATTTTTTGCTGCTCTCATATTTGCATGCACTTGTTCTTCTTTGCTTGCACATACTCATTCTTGGCGCCTTGCACAATTGGTAAGTTTTTGCTTGTTTATTCACCATTCATTTATTGTATTTTGTTTGTTTGCTCATTTGCGTTGAAAATGGCTATATAGGTGTATGCAGTGCTCTTCTGGATGGTACATGGCACTCCGGCCAAGTTTAAATTTACTGGAAATCAATTTAGCAAGGTCTATTTCTTCCATGTCAAATTTCTGAAAGATCTCAGCGCAAAATTGCCCGAGAAATTCCACAAGTTGATGGCCGATATCTTCACTGCAATACAGTATGTCCAGTCTTGTTCTCTCGTACACCTTAAATGCACTCGAGTCTTTTGTAAGGGATCTCATGCAGCACAAGAGTTCTGCCACTGATGCGGAAGCTGATGCACTTGCATTCCTTGACCTCAACAGGATGGATGAGGACTAAGTCTCCATAGTATTACCTCTCAAAATCGTTATATACTCGCTCTTTACTATTACATTCTTTTTAATGAAAACTTGATTTCTTTCCTGTATACAAGTCAGTTCTAGTGAGCAATAATAAATCTGAATGCAAGAAAATCTTGGCAACATTAGCGCTAAGTTTATGCTACATTCTGTACAATGTGCAAAAATATCATCTAATTTTGAAAAAGTTAAAGGGGGGGTAAAAGAGTCTCCATAATCTGCTAAACACTGTATTTAGGAAAAATTTTCAGTAATTATTGAAGTTAGATCTAAACTTAGCTAGGTTTGCATGGGAGGTTTTCCCTGATGAATGGGGTGCCCCATCCCCATCCCATCAAGATCAAATTGATTCTTTCCATGGCACAGGCCTTCACCATTGGGCAAATTTCACCCTTAGAGTCGCGCCATGAAAGTAGAGGGTCACCTGCGAGTGCTGGTACTACTGACACTAGGTTGTGAAGGGCTGCTAGCGGACATAAAGCTCCTTGTTCATTTAGAAAAATGGATTGTGTTTCTCCCGGTTTCGCTGTTTTTGCTGAAGGAAGGTCAAGACGTGCATATGGGCTGTTTCAAAGATCATAGCCAAAGAATGCGTGAGCCCGTGTGAGATGTTTGGCTGGATCAAAGGCTGCACGTGAGGCAACAGAGACTTTGCCAAAACGCATCATACCGAAGAAGGCACATGATGCCATTGCCCAAATGCATGCATCAAAGGGTTCTGATAAGGAGAGGGTGGCTTTGATGGCAGTAAGCATAGCAATAGTTACAGGTGGCCGAAGGGGCTTTCGACGACTAGACTGGAGGTTCTCCAGACCTTGCAAAGACCAATTGATCCTCTCACAGTGAGAATCTGACAGCGGTGGAGGCCAACCTTGCGCAATATGCCACGCTCGCACGGCAGAAAGATATTTATGGGCAACCCCAACAGAGACTGGCTCAAAGCTGGGTGTACTTGGTCCTGCAGATAAAAGAGGGTCCTCAGGGTCTGGGTCTGTGGGACTGAATCCTATAGAGTATCTTCCAGCTTCTTGCTCTGTGAGTATGTACAAATCAATTATTGAAGGATTGAGTAGTGAGGATGAGTGGTTCTCGAAATAAATGAGTGGATGAAGGCAGGCATTGAATCCCAACATTGAAACCATTGCAAATACCATTGATTATATGACACCAATCATCGAAGATACCATATTTACAAAGAAGTTCCTCTAACCGAATGTGGTTTAGAGGGGTGACCACACTGCGTGGATCACTGACGGGCCTTGCAATTGCTGGCTCCGTGTGATGAATCTCCGCAGATGCTGCAAGCGTGAACATTTCTGCAGTTGGCACCATAGGTGCAGATGGAGCTGTTGGCCCAGTTGAAGCAGAAATGCTTCCCATTGGGTGACATAAGTGCATGCTTACTCCAGGTATTGGTGGTGAGAGCTGCGACAGGTTTACCGGCGATGGTGGTGTCTGCAGGGCAGTCGGCTGGGAGGTGGCCATTTGCTCCACAGCGAAAGCAATGGTTCGACGCAAAGGTATGGGATTTCTTATGGGGCGATGATGAGAAGTCGCTCGGGGCAGAGCGCTTAGATGGTGAACTGGGAGCGACAGCTTGAACAGTGGCAGAAGCAATCTTATTATTGGCTAAGGCAAGTGCAGCTATGTTGAGTCCGGTCAAGTTGTGATCATGATTGGCATGGGCAAGCTCTCTTTGCTGCACATCATTGCACATCATAGTGCATAGCTACTGGCCATCCATGAGTGCGACCAATATTGAGCACCACCAGGTGGTGTGACGAAAGTGCGGAGGCTCTATCCTCCCCCCAATAAAAGGCTGTCTTTTCCTCTGCAACTTTCGACACAGCATCCAGTCTACCGCCAAAATTAAAAATTTGTTCAAATGATCCAAGCCTTTAGCAGTTAGACCATCATGTGTGAAGACATAGGACAAGTCCTCCCTGTGCAGGAAAGCTTTGGACCGAGCTGCATGGGTGAGAGTCGTGTATGGAATGTAATGGTACTGCTTAAACACATCTTCCACCTTTGCAGGCACAGCTGTGATAAGCCTCATTAGAGACCATATTCTTAAAGGAACAATCAAAATAACAAGTGAAGTACGGCGCGGTTGGATAGATCCTTGATCAACGAAGCAGTAATGGATGCCCTTTAGGCCGATGGTATGGTACGGTCTGACACGGTATGCATACTACAGAAGTAGCTGCCTGATGAGTGCAGTGCACACAGGATTTGCAGTGCATAGGCATGAAGAATGAAAGAATAAAGACTCACACAAACTCAATGTGCTTACTTTGTGCCCGGGTTGTAGAGCAGGTAAGGTGAGATATTTAGACTCTTCCTTAGTGCCAGCTAAATTCGCCCGAATATGTTCGACAGCTGCCGGGTCTGCGACTAATGCCTGCTGAGGGGCAGGAGCTCTGGCCGGTAAAGGGACACCGTGAGCTTCGCCACACTCAAGCTCGGCAATTCGTGTGCGTAAGGCCACTATCTCATCTGCAGGTGTGGGAGCGGCTTGGGGTTGAACAGCAGCAGGCTGCACTAAAGCCTGCTGTGCTGAAGATGGCTGGGCCAGGTTAGGAACCGAATTCGGTGCTACCATGTGATTGGCTTGCACTGATGGAGGTTGAGCTTGCTGAGAAGCATGCTGGTGTACACTCTGTGAACTCAATTGCTGTGCAGCATTGCTCGCACCGAGCCGTCCAGACGATGAAGGCGCTTGAGGTATAGAAGACGATGTTGAAGCAGACACACCTTGCATGGATGGAGGCGTGATTGGAGCATTTGAAGCTCAACTTGGTAATTCCAGACCAAGATGTTCGTGCATAATGACTGATAACAGTGATAAAATTATAACAAAATTTTATAACAAAATTTTATCGAGCGAGTGAGGAGTGTGATGGACGACGAACTCGGTGTCGTGGTGGAGAAGAAGAAAATTCCTGTACCCTCTTCTAGGGTACAGGTTTGCTGGAAAATTTCTCTGTCGACTTGATCTTCATGGCTCCACATGGTCCGCTTCTCGTGTCCTTTTTTGGTATTATATACTTTGTCAGCATTTTCTTGCGGAAGACTTTCCCTCTCCTGTCTTTGTTGTTGTGTTCGTCCTCATGGCTTCTACTTTGTCTCTAGTTAGTAATGAAACTGTGCTTTGTCTGCCTGTGTCTCTGGTGATCTCTGATCACGAGTCTGCAGACAATGGAACTTCCGTCATCTCATCATGTGTTTTGCGCAAATATTTCGGGTTTTTACGGGTTTCTTGTGATTGAGTGCCTCGGTGTACTCAATATCCTGCTGGTTCACTATTGCCTGTGGTCGCGCCAAATTTGCGTATGATAGTCGAGAACTTTGCAACATTTACACAAGATCAATACACTGAGATTGCATGCGCTCATTCTATCTACGTGTCTTCAGCAGATCGCAAAGATCATGTTCATGATTTGCTCCGCATGCATGGATGCAATTCGGTGTGTATTTCTAATGCAGTGGTGTTTAAGCTCTTAAAGTATCCCAGAGTTGCTGATTCTATTCCTGTCTTACTTGAGCCTTTTGCAGCTTCATCTTGTTCTCATTGTGCAAGTGCCAAACATGATGCTCGCATTGCAGCCAGCACACCTGAGCGCATGGATGTGAGAGCAGTAGATGCTGCTCGCCATCGAGATACTTACAATGAGAAGAATGCAGATGTTGTCGATGATCCACATTTTCCAGCTGTGTTTTCTTTCGACAATAAGTTGGATATTATTGGAGATTGGCAACAAAAGATGAGTCCACAATCTTTGAGATGTGGTTGTTGTGCTATTTGTGCACATAACATTTGTGCTCATGATCTTTTATGTATAGATGCAAGTAACATACCGCTTCATTTGTTGCGCAATGATTGCTTGCCGGAACATACTCTGCCTCGTACATATGATTTTGAGCTGTATCTTCGAGCAATTTTATATCCGAAAGGACTCGTCGATCGTTGGTCATTTTCTGGAGTGTATATGTGTCACTCATGTCCTTCGCTCTACTTGGCCGAGCTCCACATCAGCCTCTTAATTCATTGGCCAATTTTCAGTATTATGGTCATGAAAGACTACCTGTTGACATACGAGAGGCTTTTTCTATGTCCTCTATTTTCGACTGGATGTTGGTGTCCCGTGTGCAAGCATCGCAAGTGACCCACTTTTATACATACAAGTCTTCAATTTCTGGCCCTCACTTTTGGTCTGCAGAGGAAGGTTCACAGTGTTATAATCAAGGCAATATTGCCATTTGTCCACAGAATTCTACTGAGTTGTATACTCTTTTGCCACTGAGTCCTGATGAGCTGCAAGAAGCTATGTGTGTCATATTCTCGGGACAGAAAATACAACCGTCATGCGACACTGTCAGAAAAATGGGACCCGTGTTGGTCACAAAGAGTAGAGTTCAAAAGTTGATTTAGTTCTTAATCGAAAATAATTCATGGTATCAGCATAGTGGTGTAACATATAGTCAGTCCAATATGGACGCACTGTTCGATGAGATCAATTCAAAATCAGACACAAGTCTGCCGAGCGCTCTATCAGTTTGTCATTTGCCAATGGACAGTCAGGTTCCAGTGGACGAGGGGTTTAGATTTTGTGATGTTTATGAAGATGATAGAAGTCAGGTAGCTGTAGGTGATATCGTTATGGAGGCTGTCGGGTATACTATGGGAGATCATTCTGTACAAAGCAGAGAGAAAATGAAATTGCACGCGCTCACATATGTTTTAGATCATAAGAAGTTTTTGTTGTCACGCACAGGGAGTAAATTTGTTGCTGATAATGATCCTGGTTTAATGTCTTACTTGTTTCCTCATCTAGATCCTTGGGGTATTGGAGGATTCTTTCATAGTGGTCGCACTACACAACAACATATTTCAATGCAAGCGCAAGTCAAAAATCTTTTAAGACAAGATGATTCACCTTTTTGTAATGACCCTCATTTTGCGTTTATATGCTGGAACATGATTCAAAAACAAGCAGTCAGTAGGAATACGACTTTTTGCATCAGTACATCTTCGCAACGAGGATTAGTTAAAGATTTGAAAGAGATCGTGCCTTCATTAACGTCTATAGCTGAAAAGTGGCAGAAGTTGAGTGATCCGAAGCCTTCAACAACTCGAGAAAAGAAAGCTGCCCGAATTCTGCGTCATTTACAAGCATTGACAAACTCAATACGAGGGAGTGTTGGCTACAAATTATGTCGCCGTAATGAGATTTGTTCCTTGATGAAAAAGTTCTCGACACCTGCATTATTTGTAACCCTTAATCCACACGATCTGACTAGTAGCATTTTGCCTATCGTCTCAAGTATCAAAATTGCGAACTGGTCTATGATGTCATCTTTTGAACGAGCAAAGGTGGTTGCAAGTCATCCTGATGCGGCCGCAATCACATTTGATTTGCAAATTCAGGTGTTTGTTGATATTATATTGAAATATAAACATGGGCCTGGCATGTTTGGACATTGTAAAGCTTACTATGGAATGGTAGAGGCTCAAGGGAGAGGGACTTTACATTGCCACATGTTTCTGTGGATTGCAGGTAATCCGAGTCCTCAGGCATTGCGGGATCGTATTACCCAAGAAGCAGGGTTCAAGGATAAGATGTTTGCCTGGTTGGAAAGTATCATCAGTTGTGAACTACCAAATGATAAGGGTTGTGTTTTTGAGACGCATGCAGAAGATGCCAAAAAACCTGTCAGAAAACGGGATGAAATGGACCCCTGGTTAGAAACATTGCCACAAGTCACGGAATTAGATGCTCAATCCTTTAGATATGAATTTCGTGAATTTTTGAGTCGCCTCGCAGTGGAATGCAATTGGTATGTCCACAATGACACATGTTATAAGCATCTACAAAGCGGGGAAAAACATGCTGATGAGAATTGCAGAATGCGGTTAGATGGATTGTTACAAGATATCACTTCAATTGACATTGAGACTGGTTCAATCAAGTTGCATCGATGGAGAGCCAGGATTAATAATTATATGGACCTGATCTTGTTTCTTATGCAATCTAATACAGATACTCAATTCATTGGATCTGGCGAAGCTGCAAAGGCTGCTGTATTTTATATTACAGAGTATGTTACTAAAGGTAGTCTCCCGATGTACATTGGTCTTCAAGCACTGGATTATGCTACAAAAATGCACGAGCAGAAATTTGAAGCTTCAGCTTCAGGCGACATTGATATAGACCAAAAGAATCACAACCTGATAACTAAATCAGTCAATGCAATGATGGGACAACAAGAGATTTCTCATCAACAGGTTATGAGTTATTTGGTTGGCAGAGGAGATTGCTATACAAGCCATACTTTCCAAACAGTGAGATGGTATGAATTTGTGCGCGCTGCCGATAAATTAGACAGAGAGATTCAGTCCAATATAAATGAAGAGGGATATGTAGAGGATGATGATTTCATGATACAGGAAGAGCAAGTCACTGTGAACATAGTGCTGCTGTATTAATTGATGGCTATACTATTCATGCTTTGACATTTCTACCTAAAAGAGAGGTACCTGTCAAACAACATGACCTTGAGCATATTTGGTGGACTATAGAATATCTCATCTTGGATGAGGCATCGTTACTATCGGCAGAACTGTTAAGTCAAGTATCACATTGTATCTGTCAAGCCAAATCGTGGGATGAATCAGCAAGAAATAAACCTTTCGGAGGTGTGAATGTGATTTTTGCTGGTGACTTAGGACAATTGCGACCACTGAAGTCAAATGCGCTATATAGTTATAAACTTGCCAATCAATTGAGCCCAAGTACAACTCATACTATTAAAGGACAAACAGTGTTATATGGGGCATTTTTATGGCGTTGTAGAAAGCTGATTCCCGCTGGGCTCAGCAGAAATCGTACTACCTAGACAACAAATATTTAGGTAGATCTTAGCACGACCTAGTCTGCTATACTTGCAGAGCAAGTGCGTTCGATCCTATAGGGGTAGCTGTTTGGTATTAGTTTAGATAGTTAGTTATCAATAATAGGAAGATAATCCGAAGCTAAGAACTACTTGTCCGAAGGGAAACTGTCGGGTCCAAAAATATCGGAGTCGGGTCAGGCGTCGGACTATGCATTGGACGGTGAAGGAATGTGTCAGAAGTATGTCGGATTGTCGGTCAAATGAGTGTTGGATGTGTCGGAGTGTTTCGGAGAAAAAGAGCAGATAGATATTTCACAATACAATCAAGTACTACTAATATCCAATGACTTCCATCCTACTACTGAGTAGGGAAAAGTAAGTAATGCAATAGGTAGGAAGTACTAGATATTAAATAGTGTCTATGTAGGATTTCGGAGTGCATTAGGTGAAAACAGTAGTGCAAAATCGGGTCTGAATGTATGTAAAAGAGCATGTGTACTGCACCTTTTTGTAGATAACATGTAATAACACTGTCTGTAATGTTCAGTGATGCAAAACGAGTAAATACGCACCAGTGGGGGTAGATACGACTGGACAGGACATAGGGAGGACGAGTCCGATGCAAAAATGTCGGGTCCAAAACTTTCAGGTCGGGGTCGGGCGTCGGGATCAGGATCAGAATGTCAGGGATGTGTCAGATGAATACTGTTTAACATGAGTATCAAAAACACGGGTTTTGAGCCCAGCACCACGACTATCGTTACAGCGTCAAATAGACGTAGTCATCGAATTAAAACAAAATTGGCGAGCGAGAGATGATGCTGAGTTTGTTGAGATGTTAAATCACATATGGCTGTGGAAGGTGAGGAAGACTACATTAGACGACTCTCATCCAAGTGATTATGATACATTGAAATTGCGCTCACTCAATGAAATTAAGATGAGATCATCAGAACAATTTGATTCCTTTAAGGATGCACCTATCGTTGTCACTCGCAAGTATTTGAGGGATGCTATTAATGAAAAGAAAGCATGTGCGTTGTCACAACCCAATAACGAATTAATGCTGGGCAGAGACTAGGACTTGGACTAAGGTTATCACAACAATGAAAAGAGGAGCAGGTACGTCTTGGATTGCTACAGTTGTAGATACAAGAGGTTTGAACTAGAGAACTATTGACCAAGACATGCTACCTATATACAACTATTGAAATGGAGATTGAAACTGAGATATAACTACTAGCCAATCATAAAAAGGAAAAGGGAATTGTACCATAGAACGTCGTAGAATATTAAAGAAGTATCACGTGACCATATCTTATCTTATCGTATCTAATCTAATCTATTCACAATCAAAGAACTCGTCTTCTTCATCAGTCACATCAAAGACACGTGTCGTGGGCGCTAAAGGTATTTCGGGAATGATAGATGCTTTCAGGGTAGGGTTAGGGTTTGACTTAGGCGCTGTGTATTGGCGCTTAGGAAGATTCAAGAAAGAATAATGGTTTGTTAAAGGTACTCGTGACATTACCCCCTCTCTAAGGTGAGTGTCATCATGAACGAATGAAGGTCGGATATTCTTTTCTCTCCATCGTTTGAAATCTTCCGTAAACAGTACTGAGCCTTTGATTCTTCGGTATTTTTCGGCTGCAGCCATGGGATTCTTCTTATGGAACTCTGCTAAAGGAATTGGGGCGTTCTTCAAATTCTCTTCTGGCTCCCAAGATGACTCTTCCTTCGGGTATCCTTTCCATTTCACTAGGTATTGCAGCTTTCCTCGGAACAATCGGCTATCTAGTACTTCTTTATAGCAAATTCTTCCCAATCGTCAATCAATTCTGGAGGTGGTCGGTTGGGAGGAGGATGTGGAATTAATCGAGATGCGTGATATGGCATAAGCAATTCTACGTGGAAAACCGGGTGAATCTGATATTTTTCCGGCAATTTCAACTTGTAGTTCACTTCACCGATCTTCTCTAGTATTTTGAAGGGACCTAGACGACGATCTGACAGCTTTTGACTCAGACGACGTTGTTTGAGATTCTTCGCGTCAAGCCAGACCTTGTCTCCTACTTTATACTGAGGTGCTTCTTTTACTCCTTTGTCATAGAATCGCTTCATGCGTTCATTGACCATCTTAAGAGTATTTTCAGCATCATCTCTCGCTTCTTTCATTTGATCAATTCTCTCATTGGCGGCGGAGATTACGGACATAGAGTTTGGATGAATCGTGAAATCTGGGTTATACCCGTAGAGAACTTTGAACGGACTGTGACCGGTTACTGTGACTGCATTGTTGTGTGAAAACTCTGCTATCGGCAGCCAAGATACCCAATCATTCTGTCTGTATGACGTGAACATGCGCAAGTATTGTTCGACTTCTTGATTTACGTGTTCAGTCTGTCCATCTGTTCTGGGATGATAGGAGGTCGACGCAGACCATTTCGTTCCTAATCTTTTTGACATTTGTCCCATGAACTTTGATATGAACTGAGTTCCTCTATCTGAAATCACTTTCTTTGGTGTTCCGTGATGTTTCCATACATTCTTCAGAAATAGCTCGGAAATACCCTTCGAGTCTACGTCTTTGGTGGTGGGAATGAAGTGTGCTTGTTTTGAAAATCGATCAACGACTACAAATATGCTATCACACCCTTCACTCTTCGGCAAATCCACTATCAGGTCACAGGTGATTGTCTGCCAAGGTCCTTCTGGAACTTCATTTGGCTGTAAAGGCCCCGTTGGTTTACTTGGAAGCACTTTCGTTTGTCTGCACCTATCGCAACCGTCTACGTAATCGTGAACATACTTCGTCATTGAAGGCCACCAGTAGTTTCTGGAAATCAATTCTAAGGTTTTAGCTCGTCCAGGATGTCCAGCCGGTGGAGAGTCGTGAAACAACTCCAATATCTCTCGGCGGATCTCTTTATCATTTGGAACGTAAACTAATCCTCAGAATAACACCAATCCATCCTCCACATTCCACTCTTTGATTCCTCTACGCAATTGAACCGGTGCTGCTTTTAGCGTTTCTAATGCTTTAGCGACTTCAGGTTCTCGTTCTGTGCATTTTCGTATTTTTTGGAGTAAATGTTTCTCTCCATGCACTAAAACTTGACCTCTTTTGGCAGCTTTTACGGTAAAGAATTCTGGTTTCAAAAGAATGCGATCTGAGTTATCGTTTTCTACCCCCATTTGACATCTTTTCTTAGCAAATCATTCATTGGTCTGGCTATCTCTGAGAACCCAAGTATGAATCTTCGATAGAAGTTGGCAAAGCCCATGAATGCTTGTATATCTTTTACGCATTTGGGAACAGGCCATTTTAATACTCCTTCTACTTTCACAGGGTCCATCGACACATTGCCTTCTTCCACGATTAATCCGAGGAACTTGACTTTAGACTGTTCGAAGCTACATTTCTCAGGCTTCAAGAACAGGTCATTCTCCTTCAACCGCTTCAGGACTTCTCATACCACCTTTCGGTGCTGCTCCCTATTTCCATTCGTAAAGACCATAATATCATCAATATAGACGACTACTGTTTTGCCATCTATCAGGTCTCTCAGAATTTCATTCATCATTGTTTGGAAGGTTGCAGGTGAGTTCGTGAGTCCGAAATACATCATGGTCGGTTCATGGTGACCAAACGGCGTTTTGAAGGCCGCCTTCCACTCATCTCCTTCTTTCATGCGAATATTATTGTACCCCCATCGTACATCCATCTTAGAGTACATTGTGGCACCGGTTAAAGCATCAATCAAATCTTGAGATCTCGGTAGCGGATACGCATTTTTCACCATTTTCTCATTGAGCTTTCTATAATCCATCACCGGTCTTAACTTGCCATCTTTTTTGGCCACAAAGAAGAAAGGTGCTGCTACTGGAGATTGTGAATTTCTAATACGTCCTAGTGCAGTCTCAGTTTTCAACCATTCCTTCAGTGTATCCATCTCTTTGGGTGACAACGGATAAGGTTTCGCATTTGGCGGAAGATCGCCCTCATCTTTAAGATCTATCGCATGATCCCACTTCTTTCTTTCAGGGAAGCGTTTAGATTCTTCTTCTGAGAAAACTCCCAGGTAATCATGAAGCCAGTCAGGTACCATTTCTTCTACCGACTGCTTCTTCTTAGTAGCTTCTTCTGCTACTTTCTGCTCCGTGGCAACCGTGTTACGACTTGGATGGTATCTGTTGGCGACGCTCAAACAGAGCGTGTGTCGTCAACGGTCGAGGACGTCCTTGGGCTAGCCCAAGGTTAGGGGTCTTACTTGGCGAGGCTTCGGCAAGTAAGATTTGACGCCTATGTCCAAATCGGGTAGCTTATGTCAAGCGGATGCGAGACAATAAGCTATATCGGCCTAGGCTTACGACACCCGAAGGTTAATCGTAAGATCGTCGTTAATTAGAAGGACAGAAGTCCGACTAGTTAACAGGGGCTTTGCTCGTCGACAAAGTCGATGAGTAAAGATCGAGACTATAGGCTTATCCGCGAGGAGCAGATAAGAAGATAGAATATAGACTGCTGGCGAGGCAGAAAGGATCACTCTGGTGAGAGTAGGAGGTCAAGAACCAAGTAGATTCAAGTTAGGG